TTCATTAGCTGAACAGTATTTTTCACAGTATTTTCATTTCTTCTTACTTCTGAATTTAACATCTAGGTTATATAAGCTCAGAAGTAGAACAATCAAGTCATTCTATTCAGTTAAATTTTTAATAATTGTGCTTACTTTGGTGGTACAGATTCTAAAAGTGAAGCATTCTGAGGAGCATTTTTAGCATGGAGGATATCTGAACCTCAGTGCAGTGTTCCATATATTAGGAACATTTATTGAAGGAAATAAGATAAAACCTGAATAAATGTGTATAAACGTGAAAATGTAGTATTGCAAGGAGTGTTAAAAAACAAAATTCAGCCTTGTAAATTTGAAGATCTAATTGGCTTTATTAAACAATTCATGAATTAGGCAGCATGCCACCTAGCAAGTAGAGGGGAGCTCTGAGGGGTTGTACTAAATGGAAGCTTTTTATAAGAAGAAAGGTGGGGCAAGGAAGTTGTTAGCAGAAGAAAAGGATCCTTTCAGGCGAGGTAGCTTTCCCTTAGGAGGAAGAGCAGCAGGTCTTATCATGCAGATGACCTCATCTTCCTTCGGGGAAGGTTGAAACTAGAATTAGATTGGTTATTAAGCCCCAGGTTGGGACTCAGCCTTAGTGACATCATTTAGGCTCGTGGTTTTCTTTTTAACATCAGAGATTTATTTATCGTTGAGGAAATTAGCAAGATGGTAAGACTGGTTCTAGGAGCATTTGGGCAACTGAAGAATGTTGGAGTAAGATTTTTATATGCAAAATTTGTTAATCTCCTATAAGGCAGTATTTGTATAATTACCAGACAAAAAGAAATCTACAAGTTACATATTATTTTATATAATGTGAACCTTAATCAGTAGTAAATAGTAAATCGAAGAAAGGTATATTCCTTACAGAATAAAATATTCCTTGGTGGGCCCATTAATGCTCCAAGATGGCATTGAAAGGACATGCGCTCTTTGTGTTACTTCCAATCTGTGGAGTAGCTGAAAGGTGAATTATTCACTGGTGTTGGGATAATTGCGTATTCATGTGGGAAACAATGACATTTAGCTCTCACTGTATACAAAAATGGATTCCAGATATATACCTGTCATTTTCACTTTGTATTTGAAACATTTATCATAAAAAAAGAAGAAAATAGATTCTTGATGAAATATATGTAGTCTGAGTGAATTACATCTATATCAAAAAATACTGTTGAATAAAAAAATCAGTTCATAGACTGATGTACTTACTGTGATATTAATATACATTTTAAAATACTATAAAATTGGCTCAGCGGTTTAGTGCTGCTTCAGCCCAGGGCGTGATCCTGGAGTCCCAGGATCAAGTCCCAGGATTGAGTACCACGTCAGGCTCCCTGCATGGACCCTGCTTCTCCCTCTGCCTGTGTCTCTGCCTCTCTCTCTGTGTCCCTAATGAATAAATAAATAAAACATTAAAAAAATACTATAGAATTTCTGGGACTTTATGGACATGTACATAAAAGCATAAAGGGCTAGAAGGATCTAATCTAAACTTTTATGTTTCTGAAAATGTGAATAAAATCTAACATCATTTTATTAACAATTCTGAAATTCTGCTAAATTCAAGGCTGGTAAAGGTACTATAATTGTAGCTTTGAAACATGCAACATTTACCTGGCATAACAGACTTTGTTTTAGCAGAATTTAATAAATTTTTAGCATTTTATTTATTTAAAAATTTTTATTTTATTGTTTTAGAAATTCCCTTTTTTTTTTTTTTAAGATTTTATTTATTTATTCACGAGAGACACACAGAGAGAGGCAGGGACATAGGCAGAGGGAGAAGTAGGCTCCCTGCAGGAAGCCCGATGCAGGACTCGATCCCGGGACCTCAAGATCACGACAAGAGCCAAAGGCAGACACTCAACCACTGAGCCACCTAGGTGTCCCGAATTTTAGCATTTTATATCTCTTGTGTGTCAAATCACTGGGGAAAATATGTGATCTTTTAAAAGTTATCTTGGGGAGGGCCGCAGGAAGCAGACTAGTGGCAGGTGTCTAGGCCTCTAACGAGGGCAATCTGGCAGGAATCGGAGCCATCAGAACCACCACCATGACTATGGGCAAGAACAGCAAGATGCTGCAGCACATCGACTACAGGATGGAGGTGCATCCTACAAGATGGCCGGATCTTCATTGGCACTTTCAAGGTTTTTGACAAGGATATAAATTTGGTCCTCTGTGACTGTGATGGGTTCAGGGAGGTCAAGCCAAAGAACTCAAAACAAGCAGAAAGAAAAGAGAAGTGAGTCCTCGGTCTGGTGATGCTTTGTGGGGAGAACCTGGTCTCAGTGACAGTAGATGGACCTCCTCCCAAAGATACTGGCATTGCCTGAGTGCCACTTGCTGGAGCTGCCGGGAGCCCAGGGATTGGCAGGGCTGCTGGTAGAGGAATTCCAGCTGGTGTTCCAATGCCCTAGACTCCTGCCGGACTTGCAGGGCCTGTCCGAGGAGTTGGTGGGCCATTCCAGCAGGTGATGACCCCACAGGGAGGAGGCACTGTGGCTGTCGCTGTAGCTGCTGCCACTGCCAGCATTGCTGGGGCTCCGGCCCAGTACCCGTCCTGCCGTGGGGGTCCTCCCCACCTACGGGCCAAGGGGCACCCCCTCCAGGCATGATGGGCCCACCACCTGGCATGAGACTTCCCATGGGGCCCCCTGATGGGATCCCTCCTGGATGAGGAACTCCGATGGGCATGCCCCTCCTGGGGATGCAGTATGTCATCTTCACCCCCCCACCCCCCGCAATGGGCCCACCAAGGCCCTAGACTCATCTTGGCCCTCCTCAGCTCCCTGCCTGTTTCCCGTCAGGCTGTGCATTTTACTTTTACTTCCTTGTAGGCTGTGAAACTAGTTTATAATAAACGCTTAAGAATTTTAAAAAAATATCGGGGAAAAATAGTAAAAGACGAAGAAAAAAATATGCAGCACTCTCTTGTATCATATATTCAAATTATAGCTAGATTAACAAACTGAATGTCAAAAAGTAACAGCATTGGTAAACTTGTGTTATACAATCTTGGTAGAGCAAAAATTTTTCCAAGTATGACCTCATAATCAGAAATGTTAAAGGAAAGTGATTGGTTTTGATTACATAAAAATTTCAATATCGGGGAGAATTTTGTAATTAAAGGTGAAGGCAAATGAGAAATGAGTCATTTTTACAGTAATTTCAGAGACCATTTTTTTTTAGCACTTATAACTGAATCTATAATAGAACATGTGGGTCAGAATGGTCCAAATGGGTAGATGGCCTTGTGAGTAGATATTTTTCCTCTTTGCTCCTGAGCAGAGGTTACCATCCCTGCTCTAGAGTCTGGTTTGTGTAAGTGCTGGGTGTTTCCTCTATTCTCCTGGTAAAAATGGTCTTGTGACAGAAAACAACCTGCCATAAACTACATTTCGTACTATGTACGGAGTTTTCTTCTCTCTTACCACCCCACACCCTACCACCTTTGTAAGAGAACCTTGATTTCCTCCTAACCTGATGCATAAAATTAGGGAACTTGATATATTCAAGACAAGATGAATGTTGAATCTGAAATATTATAGGGTATTGGGAAATCTGAGAGGTATATATATAATCAAACTTCACTTAATGGAGGGCATTGCATATCTTCGAATTTAAAAAAAAGAAAGCATCCCTAAAGGGAAAATCAATAACCCTTTTCTTTACATGGCTTGTGTACAGTTAAGGTGAAGGGACGCAGAGGTTGGTGATTCTATTACAATACAAGGCGGGGCTTTTTCTTACCTTGTGAGTTTTCTTCTCTTGCATGGACCTGCCTCCTTATGTAGTGGAGGGAGCTCTGGGTCAGTAAAAAGGCCTGAGTCTGCAAACCGGATCAGTCTCCACCTCCTCTGTTACTTTAGCACTCTGTGGTGTATATCATGGGAAATGAAGCTTCCCACGATATTATGTATCACATGTGTTAAAAAGAATATACCTTGCAAAATATATGCGCTTTATCTCAAGAATTTATCCTCAGGAAATAATCAGGCAAGTGAGTAAAGAACTTGTAACAATATTGTTTGTAATTGCAAAACATAGGGAGCATTTTACAAGTCCCAAAATAAGGGGCGGGTAACAAATTATGTTATACTAACTATGATTAAAAGAACTCTATTTGCCAAGAAGAAAAGATTCAGGAAAAATTAAACATGTAATGAAGGAAAATAGAATATGTCACCCCGTGATTTGACCTAAAAATCATTTTGAGCTGAAGGCAATCAAAAAGCAGTAAACACTGGAAAAGCTTTCACTTTTTTACCTTAAAGGCAGGAAATAAATTATCCTTTTACTGGAGAAAGGCATTTGTACCAATTTAGAGAATCTGCAAACCTTTTTAAGCTAACCCTTAATTTCCTAGTTACTTCTTCATCGGTAACTACCTGGAGCCCCAACCACTTTGTCTTGCCAATTCTTCACAAATATAAAAGCTTCTTGATTCTTGGGGAGTCTTCATTCTCTTGTGAAGGCTCCTTGTGGACAGGATGAATTCAATAAAATTCAGATGCTTTACTCCTGTTAATCTTTGTGCATTTTATTTTCAGACCCAGCCAGGGACTCTAAAAGAGTCAGGGAAAACTTTTTTCTTCCTTACAATAATATTTCATGTTAACAAAATATAGAAATATATGTATAAATTTACTTGGGAAAAGATCTGGAAGGATATTTATATACAGGATACAATGTTGTCTTTGTGTGGAGAACTTTGAGGTGATTTCAGTTAATTTCTTTTAGTATACTAGAATAAAAAAGTAAGTTTATTTTATTGGTCTGTATTTCAGAAATGTTCACCATGTACAAGGAGATAGATTTTTGTTACTTGATTTTTGAAATTGATTAGACATAGAGGTGAGATGTACTAAATAATTGAAGGATTTATGTTGTATACTTGAATTTATGTGGACTTTTCCTGTAAGACAAAGAAATAAAAATCTCATTGTTTTTTTTTTTTTTTTTTTAATTAATAGGTTTTCTCGCACAGATATGGCAACAAGCAGCCGTCCCTTTGCATCATTTGATACCAAACTGGCCTCTGGACGGCTCAGATCGTCTAATGTGAGCAGGTCAGGAAGAAGGTGCAGATGTTTTAGGGACATCAGGGGAGAGCCACTCCAGCCCTTTGGTGAATTGTAATATTGATGTTACTGACTACTGAAATAGGGAGGTGTAGTGTCCATTTTACAAATTAGGGAAGGAGACAAAGAGCTCCTAAGGGTCTCTGTGAATGGGTGGTGCAATTACATAAAAAGAAACAAAACTAAATTCAACGTGTGGGGTACAACTCTCTTTTGAGTCTTTTATCTTAAAAATTTTTAAATCATTAATTTTGTTTATAAGATAATATAACCACATTGCCAAGCATTAGTGACAATGGAAGAAAGGAGACATCCACCATACATATGACCACTTCTTTTTTTTTTTTAAAGATTTTATTTATTTATTTGAGAGCAGGAGCAGGGGGGAGAGGCAGAGGGAGAAGCAAACTTTTGGGGACCCCAAGATTATAACCCGAGCTGAAGACAGATGCGTAACTGATGAGCCACCCAAATACCCCTAAATATGACTTCTTAAACTATATTCATTCTAGTCTTTTTCCTGGGCATGTGCTTCTATCTGATATGGATGTAGCCATAGGGTTTTTCACTGAATGTTGTAGTAAGATTATTTTTCTACCTACATTCTTCTTGTAATTTTGGCTTAAAGAGCATTTTACGAAACATTGATGGTAGAAAATTTAGGAAATAATAGAAAGCACAGAAGAGAGATAAAAATGTATGTTACCATCACTGTCACTTTTTTTTTTTTGGTGTGTATCCTTTCTTTTTCTCTCTCTATATATAGAACCAATGTTTTTTTTTAATTAATTGGGATTATGTTAAATATACAATTTAGTAACCTGCTTTTTAAAAATTTTATTATTTTTTGCCCTGCCCATCCATCTTTTTTTTTTTTTTTTTGTACCTGTTTTTAAAAGTCAGTATATCATGGTATTTTTCCTTTCCATTAATATTTTTTTTATAATATCACAGTTGCTAAGTAATGTTCTTTTCCTGCCCATTCTAGAATTAATATTATGAGTTATTTATTTTTGAACATGTAGGTTGTTCCTTTATAGTTATTAAAGGCAACTCTCTAAAAGCTATGTTTTAGTACCATGAGAAAGGGCTTTTTATCTATCTTTATAAGTTTATTAAACTTTATGTTATACAGATCTTTAGCATTTAGATTTTGCATTTGAAATTTTAGCTACTTGTGAGTGTGTTCATAACACTCATGGGCTTGACAGTAAGTCTTAGGACTCAGCTCTCACAGTACAAGGAAGGGGTGCAATTATTTGAGGATTGAATGAAGATGAAGTTGAAAATAACTCCTAAGGTTTTTAAGGCATTTATTTTTCACATTACGATTTCACACCATATGTCTCTGCTCATGGAAATCTGAGCTTTCTTTAGAAATATGAGTCTCTCCCTCAGGGTTGACTGACCTCTAACTCATCTGATAGTTTCCTAGGTAACTACTGCATCAACATTTATAGATCTTCCTTGCTTTACAGTGGGCTTACATCCTAAATGAGCCCATCATAAGTTGAAAATGCATTTAATACATCTAACCTATCAAACATCAGAGCTTAGCTTTGCCTACCTTAAATGTGTCCAAAGCACTTATATTAGCCTGCAGTTGGGCAAAATCACCAGAACCCATTTCTGGTAGAGGAGTAACTGAAGTGGGGTTTTGTTTTTATGTTTGAAGGAATGAATTTGGAGAGGCTAGTGGCATGGAAATTTGATGTTAAGTTTTTAAAAATCATTATACTGCTCATTTACTTACTGAAATATTTTCCTATTAAAAGTTGTTATATAGGAATGCCTGGGGGGCTTAGTCCATTAAGCATAGAACATTTGATCTCAGCTCAGGTCTTGATCTCAGGGTCCTGAGTTCAAGCCCTGTGTTGGGCTTCATGCTAGGTGTGGAGCCTACTTTAAAAAAAAAAAAATTATCCAAAACATTTTGGAGAAGGCTCTAATTTTATTTTTTTAAATTATTTATTTGTTTATTTTGGGGGGGGCAGAGGCAGAAGGAGAGAGAATCTTTTTTTTTTTTTTTAAGATTTTATTTATTTATTCAAGAGACACATGGAGAGAGGCAGAGACATAGGCAGAGGGAGAAGCAGGCTCCCTACAAGGAGCCTGATGTGGGACTTGATCGCAGGACCCCAGGATCACGCCCTGTGCTGAAGGCAGACCCTCAACCACTGAGCCCCCCAGGTACCCCAGGGAGAGAGAATCTTAAGTAGGCTCCATGCTGGGCATGAGCCTGACACAAGATTCCATCTCACAACTCTGAAATCATGACCCGAGCTGAAATCAAGACTCAGACTTTTGCCGACTGAGTCACCAAGGCATCCTGAGGGCCCTAATTTTATTTTATTTTATTTTATTTTATTTTATTTTATTTTATTTTATTTTATTTTATTTTATTTTATTTTATTTTATTATTTTATTTTTTTAAAGATTTATTTATTTATTTATTCAGAGAGAGAGAGAGAGGCAGAGACACAGGCAGAGGGAGAAGCAGGCTCCATGCAAGGAGCCCGATGTGGGACTCGATCCCGGGTCTCCAGGATCACACCCCGGGCTGCAGGCAGCGCTAAACCGCTGCACCACTGGGGCTGCCCGGGCCCTAATTTTAAAGAGCAAAATTTCCATCAATCATAAATAACATAATTTTTAATTAAGGGTAAAATCATAATGATTATACAGATGTAAAAATGAAACACATGTTCAAGATTTTACTTAACTCATGAACTAAGCAGATGTTATAATAAATTCAAAGGAGAAATCGAAACAGCACAAATTTATATGGAGTAAAAGCATGTTGAAATTAATGTCCAAAGTCAGCAAAACTAGCTTCTTGTATAGTGAAGAAAAAGAGGTAATTGAACCTCTAGTAGTCTAGATAAAATTTACGTGTCTGTAGACAATGATTTTGCATTGCTATCAGTTACAATTTACAAAGTTGCAATTTAATACTAAAAAAACAAACTGATTAAAAAATGGTTGGAGGATCTGCATAGACATTTTTCCAAAAAGACTTACAGATGGCCAACAGATACATGAAAAGATGCTCAACATCACTAATCAGAGAAATGCAAATCAATTTGATATCACAGAGATATCACAGAGATATCACAGAGATATCAATTATACCTGTCAGAATGCCTAAACTTAAAAAAAAAAAAAAGACAAGACATAACAAATGTTGGTGAGGATGTGGAGAAAATGGAACCCTGGTGCTTTATTGTTGGGAATGTAAACTGGCACAGCCCCTGTGGAAAACAGTATGGAAGTTCCTGAAAAAGTAGACATAGGAAGGCCCTATGATGCATTTTCACTACTAGGTAATTACACAAAGAAAATGAAAACACTAATTCAAAAAGATGTATGCACCCCATGTTTATTGCACATTGTTTAAAATAGCCAAGATATGGAAGATATCAACACCCAAGTGTCCATCCATAGATAACTGGATAAAGAAGATGTGGTGTATATGTACAATGGAATATCACTCAGCCATGAAAAAAGGATGAGATTTTGCCATTTGCAACAGTAAAGACGGATCTAGAGGGTATAATGTTAGGTGAAATAAGTCAGACTAAGAGAGACAAATACCATGTGATTTCACTTACGTGTGGAATCTAAAACACAAAACAAATGAATAAACAAAATGCAGAATCAGACCTTTAAATATAGAAAACAAACTGATGGTTGCTAGAGGGAAGGGGGTGGGTAGATGGGCAAAATGGATGAAGAAGGGAGATACAGGCTTCCACTTATACAATAAATAAGTCATGGGAATAAAAGGCACAGTATAGGGAATATAGTTCCTGATGTTATAATAGTGTTGTATGGCGATGGTAGCCACATTTATGGTGAGTATTACCAAACTAGATAAGTTGAATCGCCCGCCATGTTGTATACCTGAAACTAATTGTGTGTCTACTATGCTCCAATTAAAAAAGAAAGTATAATTTACAGAGTTGCAAGGCAGTTCCCATAGAATTAAAAAGCAATCCGAAGGGGTCTCTTCTACAGGTAAGACAGTAATGCATAATTTTCCACTAAAGCACATTTTCCCTCCCTACGTAATCAAACTGAAACACTTCTCCTCTATGAGTAAAGGTGGTTTCCACGCTTGTGGTCTTTGTGACTGCTATGAGCCTTATTCGTCAGTTTATTCCATCCTCACAACAGCTTCATGAAGTAGGTGGTGGTGGTGATCCCATTTTACATATGAGCAAGCCAGGCTTCAGAAGGTTAAAGCTATAGGTTCTAAGTGGTAGAGTTAGAATTCCAGCCTTTCTGTCCCCAAGTGTGCATGCAACACACCTATGCAACAACGTGATAATAGTAAAAACTATAGAAATTCTGTGTATTTTTCTTGGTCTTTAGGTCAACATCAAACAAGGTGGATCTCAAGTGTGGCCTAGAAGAATGTGCAGTGGCATTGAACTTATTTCTAAGTAACAAATTTACAGATGCCTTAGAATTGCTTCGACCATGGTAATTAACTTTATTTATTTTGGGTAAAATATTTTTTTTCAGATGTTCCTGGGGATTCTTTCTTTGATGTCATACGTGTCAATTAATTTATCTGTATTTCCACCTGAATATTACTAAGCTAATTTGAGACCCCCTACTGCCGGTCAGTTTTAATATCCAGCTAAGAAATCTGTCTTTTCAAATTTAATCAGTAGAAAGTTTCTGATTCTTTGTCATATTTTAATTTCTGTGTGTATTCAAATATTGTCAGGTAGTTTTGTAGAGCTTCATTTTGCTTTCTTCAGTGAAATTTTTTTTTTTAAGATTTATTTATTTATGATAGACATAGAGAGAGAGAGGCAGAGACACAGGAGGAGGGAGAAGCAGGCTCCATGCCGGGAGCCTGATGTGGGACTCGATCTCGGGACTCCAGGATCGCGCCCTGGGCCAAAGGCAGGCGCTAAACCGCTGAGCCACCCAGGGATCCCCAGTGAAGTATTTTTATAAATATTCCTCTAAAGCTTAAATATCATTGAAAAAAGTTTTCATTGAAATGGGATGGGAAGAATAGAATATGCTAACCTCAAATGTTAAAAAAAATTTAATATAATAAAAAATGTTATTGGACTCCCTATTTATGTGCTAAACAAGTTAAGCAATATAATTTCAGTTAATAATACCTGTTCCTTTTTCAAATGTGGCAGCAAAACTTGGGCTCAGCCCTTATACTAGGTGTCTTCTTCACCAGAGCCCCATACAGTGTGACTGGAACTTGACAGGAATAATCTTACATTGTGCCGTCAAACACAGTCACTTACTTGGATGAAGCGTAGACCTTATATAATGATTTTTTAGAAGGTTACTTGAGGGGGTGTCTGGGTGGCTCAGTCGGTTAAGCATCTGTCTTTGGCTAAGGTCATGGTCTCAGGGTCCTGGGATCAAGCCTGGCATCAGGCTCCCTGCTCAGTGGGAAATCAGCTTTCTTCCTCTTCACCTGTCCCTCCCCTCACTTGTGTTCTCTCTCTCTCTCTCCCTCTCAAATAAATAAATAAAAATCTTGAAAAAAGAAGGTTACTTGGGCACAATAGTGGGAATCTCATTTCTTTGGTCAGTACGGTAATGTCACTCTGATTGTAGACTTTCATTTATAGTGGTGAGCATTGAATGATGTGTAGAATTGCTGGGTCACTATGTTGTACACCTGAAACTAATACAACATTGTACGTCAACTACAAACTAAAATTAAAAGATTAAATTACCTCCTGAGAAGCTGCTGTGGTAATTCTATTAAGATGTAGAAGAGCTGTGATCAATTAGTATTTCAGAGGTTAGGAACAGATGATAAAATAGATGGTAAAACCCACGGCCTAAGGACATTGTCCAGTGTGTCTGCCCTGCCTATCTCCTGCCTCATTTCCCTCTGTCCTTCCCAGTCCCTCAGACCTCTTTCTCTCTCCATTGTCTGTCTCTCCTTCTCTGTCTTCCTCTCTTTGCCTGCCAACCTTTTTCTTTCTGTCTCTCCTCTCTCAGCCTGCCTGGCTGTCTCCGTTTTTTTTTTTTTTATTCACACAGGACTCCTTTTTTCTCTGTCTCAGATACCCAGCCAGTCATAATGTGGAATGAAAAGAAGTGATTGAGTATTTTATTTGGTCACATTTTATATTCCGTGCTCTTTATGCAAGTTTCACTGTTAAACATATGTTTTTCCCACTTGAGTAGCTTTTTGTTTTTTTCCCTCTTGGAGCTTTCTGTTTAAAATGGAGGTTTAAAACCACAATAAATGATTAACTTTGGGCTGCTCTTAACTCCTTGTGGTATTTTGAACAGGCAGTGACCTCACTAGTCAGGACAAACTGCAAATTACCAAAGGATTAAACATCCTTTAGACTGTTTCTCTGGGGGAAAAGAATAATGTGGCTTGCATTTGTTTTGCATACCTGTGGGCTGTTGTTCATTATATTTGAATCAAAAACAAAATTGTGCATTAATATTTTAACTCTTATAAATAAAAAATTGACATAATGAGAAGTTTTGGGAAAGAGTGAGGTTTTCACAGCCTGAAATCCTGGCATGTGCCATACATTAAGACTAATTAATGCCCTTAAGAATCCAAGCAATTCTCACTGATAATTTAGTAATTGAAATTATTAAGAACTTTAGTCAGGAATTGTAGATAATGGGATTATATTAGTTATGAGGTCTAAAATATACTTTTGGCTAGGCCCATTGTGGCTGACCTAATTTATTGCAAAAATCTTGCTTTCCTTTGACTTCTGACTGAGAGTGGAGAGGAGCTGGTTTTAAAGAAAGAGTCTTTATTTGAAAATATATCAGAATTTCTCTGTCACCAAATGCATTTCCAGTGGCATTTCTTTTAGTACTTATATCAGAGTTAAAGATAGTAGATATATTGCCTGGTGTTCAACTGGGAAAAATTGGTTTGCTTTGAAACGTTTTTAAAGAAAAGAATCCACAGGCTGCCCCCGTGTGCTGAAACGGGGAAAAACAATTGTGGTCTTCTTTTTTTTTTTTTTTTTTAAACAATTGTCTTCTGACTCAACGCGGAACATTCTGTGCTGCCCTGTAGGCTTAATATGGAAAGTGCTTGATATTTGTGTTTTTCAGGACATGTCTTTCACAGTCTATATTATTTCAGTGATTATGATATAGGAATAAAAGTTATCATTATAAAAGTCACAGTATACATTTACTAGGATTTCTCCTGGTTAGTATCAGACAAGAGCTGAATGCTTTCAAGTTGAATGGAAAGGTATTAATTCCCTGTGTTTTGCCTCCAGGGCTAAGGAAAGTATGTATCATGCCTTGGGCTACAGTACCATTGTGGTGTTGCAGGCGGTCATGACCTTCGAGCAACAGGACATCCAAAATGGCATTTCTGCTATGAAGGACGCATTACAAACCTGCCAAAAGTATGAATTGAGTAATTAAATACCTGAGATATGACTACAAACCTTTATGTCTGTGTGATGAAGTGAGTGTGGTTTGCCTAATGGAGAGCTCTGTTTGAAGTTTGCCCCAATTGTAATAAGGGACTGGTTCTTCAAAGCTTCCTGGCTTCAGTAGTTTTATGTAATAGAGTTAAAATTTCCTTTTAGGAATTATGGTAGACAGCAGCCTGGGTGGCTCAGCGGTTTAGCACTGCCTTCAGCCCAGAGCATGATCCTGGAGACCCGGGATCAAGTCCCACGTCGGGTTCCCTGCATGGAGCCTGCTTCTCCATCTGCCTGTGTCTCTGCCTCTCTCTGTGTGTCTCTCGTGGATAAATAAAATCTTAAAAAAAGGGGGGCGGGATTATGGTAGATTCTTGTTTGGCCAAACACTTGGCATCTATACCTCTACTCTTTTTCTTTCTTTCTTTGGTAGCTTGGTCCACAGGGAAGGACTAAGGGAGATGGGATCAGGAGCACACATCTCTCAAGGGTCTCCCTTGGGTGGGTGAAGGGAGAACTTTATTTGTCTAAAAGGACATATTTGAACACTTCTGGTTGGTGAAAATGAGACTGATTTTCAGTTTTATTTTAATCTTTGCTCTGTGTGTATAGCAAGATCCCAGCAAAAGCTGTTAACTAGCATTGGTGAAGCTATATCCTCATGTAATTATATTGCAAACCTGCAAATGAAGAGAGTTTCCAAATACTGCACTCTAAGTGATTCTTCACCTGCTGGTACCTCTTACCACAGAAATACTGATTTCAGCCATACAGATCGGGACAGGTGCTTGGCTGGCAGGATTGGTATTTATTGTTTTGTGTGGGTTTGTCCATTCATGTGTCTCGTAAGCATGGATTGAATGCCCACAGGATGCCAGTCCAGTGCTGGGCGCTGGGTGTGCAGTGTTGAAAAGGTGGTCTCTGCACTATCGACTTTAGGGTTTAGCATTTCTCTTTGGTTACTCTTTGGTGTGACTGGCAAAAATGAATGTCAAATGAAAATGAGCTTGGACTGATTTATTGTCATTTTTCTTTCTGTTTCTCAACTCCCTTTCTACTTACTCTCCACAGATACAGGAAAAAATGCACAGTTGTAGAATCTTTCTCAAGTCTTCTTTCTAGAGGATCATTGGAACAGCTGACTGAAGGTAAGACTCATTTAAGGATTAAATGTTTTCTGTCTTTGAAACATTAAAACATGGTCATACTCATAAGATTCAATACTTAAGTTCATAATATAAAGTAAATGGAATATCTTTTTCTCTTTCCCATCGTATTCACCCTGAAGAAGTAACCATTGGTAATAATTGGGTTAATGGCCCAATATTACCCGCAGAGCAGAGCAGAGTTCAAAGTTGATCTGCCTTTCTATAAGTCACAGCTCTTTCCACTGCACCCACATTTTTTCTCGTAGGCTTATAGAAAAGGGAACAAAATATTCATGTATGGATGAGGGAAATGCTGAACTATTCCTGTGTTAGACATCTTAAAAATAGATGGTACTGCATTCTTAACTTTAAAAAAAAATATTTTATTTATTTATTTGAGAGAGAGGGGGTGAGAGCGCTTGAGATGGGGCAGAGGGAGAGGAAGAGGCAGAATCCCTGCTGAGCAGTGAACTCAATGTGGGGCTTATCACAGGACCCTGGGATCATGACCTGAGCGGAAGGTAGACATTTAATCAACTGAGCCACCCAAGTGCCCCGTGTTCCTACCTTTTTATAATGTCTTTGGAAATGGCACTTTAGAAAATCTGAAATAAGGTATAAAGTTACTAATTATTAAAAAAGAAAACAATAATATATGACTACACACCTATTAGAATGTGCATAATCTGAAACACCAGTAACACCAAATGTTGACAAAAATGTAGAGCCAAAGGAACTCTTATTCATGGCTGCTGGGAATGCAATATTGTACAGCTGTTAGAAAGCTTATGTCCACACAAAAATCTGCATGTGGATGTTTACAGAAGCTTTATTTATAATTGCCAAAACTTGTGAGCAACCAAGATGTCATTCAATAGGTGAATGGATAAATAAACTGTGGTACATCCAGACAAATGGAATATTATTTAGCACTAAATGAACTATCAAGCCATGAAAAGACACAGAGCAACCTTAAATGCATATTACTGAGTGAAAGACACCAAGCTGAAAAGGCATCATGCTGTGTGATTCCAAGCATATGACATTCTGGAAAAGGCAAAACTGTGGAGACAGTGACAAGATCAGTGGTTGCCCAGGGATGGGGTGTACGGATAGATTAGGGTGGAGCACAGAGGACGTTTAGGATAGTGAAAAACTTTGTATGATATCATAATGATGGATATATGTCTTTATACATTTGTCCAAACCCATGGAATGTACAACACAAGAATGGGTCATAATGTAAACTGTGGACTTTGGGTAATTATGATGTGTCAACGGAAGTTCATCAGTTGTACCACACTGGCGGGGATGTTGCTGATGGAAGAGGTTGTGCACACATGGAGCAAGGGATACATGGGAAATTTCTGTACCTTCCCCTCAGTTTTGCTGGGAACCTAAAACTTCTTTAAGAAATAACGTCTTAATTAGAAAATAATAAACAAAAATAGCTTGTTACTATAACATATTCTGAAAAACAGATTATTTAGACTTTTATATCCAAAGGCATGCTTAGCTAACATTTTAGTCCAGGGTGAAGCTATTCCTTCAGTAGACTAAGGAATTTATAATTAAGAGATGTTCTTGTAAGATAGCTGTTCATAAATGCCAGTGGCTAATTTTGAGAACTGGGAAACTGCCTGATAGAAATCAACCAGAGTGAAGGAATACAACTTTTATAAATTAAGTTGCATTTTATTCCTAATGCTTTTGGCTGTCACTGCAACCCAAACAGACTTTGTGTTCAAGGGAGCATGTCAAAACATTGTAGCTTTAGTATGTGATTTGTTTCTCCCCTTGGTAATTTTCATTTACATCCTTGAGTGGCTGGTTGTGGGCAGGAGTCAGTATATTTAATTAACCTTTTCGTGGGTTTAACATGGAACACACCCATTCTTCTCTCCTGGCTGGCATATTGCCCTGAATGGTTTTCAAATTTCCTTTAAAAATAGATATGTAAATGCAGTACTTAGGATGTGAAAGGCATTTAACATGAAGGATACTTACATATGGCATACAGAGCTCAAATTTTCTTGCCTAAATCTCTGCCTTTTTGTTATGTCCTTTAGCTGCTCTTAGGGTTGTCCATCTGTAACTTAACCCTGATGCATCCTATTCTGCTCACACCTCTGCATGGACTCAATGTTACCGATTGAAATCAAGCCCAGTTCCAGACACTTAAGATTGTCCATAATTCAGCCCCAACTTACCTTTTCAGACTCATTTCACACTCCTCACTTTACACACCTTGCACTTCACCATTGGAGCTCTACTAGCCTTCCCCGCACACACCCAAGCCAGCAAGCAATCTGTGTTACCAAGCAGGCTTTCAAAGTAATTCCAAACCATTTGTATTTCGTGGCAAATGTACCTAGGAAGAGGAAACTCAGGTGACTGTGTAAAAATTGAAGACTCCACTTTTTATCCCACTGAACACTGAGAAAATTCGGAGGTACACTTACAGGTGAGGTGTCCTGAAGCCCTGGGACCCTGACTGGCGATGGCTGCCAGACATGCACAGGCCCTAATTCCTCAATTTGGCCCCATCCATAGGCTGGCTGTTGAAGGATCTTTTTTCTGCCTGGTTGCTTCTTTGTAAATTCCACCTTTGGCATGTGAGCATCGTAGGGATTGGAACCAATTTGTGAGAACTTGTCTGTTGTGTATTGGCTGGCGGGGATGAGAATGGGGTCTGTGTGTGTAAGTGAGAGAAATACAGCACTAGTTCTTACCCACTTTGACCCAACAGCATTCTCACAGACACAGTTCAGCAACTTAACTTCACATAAAAATTTTCTGCTTTCCGAGCTTTTACCAAAAAGCCCAGCATGGATTGAGAGCAGTGATCTTAGTGAAAATAGCTAGCAAAAATTGAGTGCTTACTCTCCATAGTGAGCTCTGCTTGCAGCAACCCCATTTGAGTCTTTAGTTGTGAAGTGGAGGTTACTAGCTGGACTTATCAAATGAGGTAGCCAGTAGAGAGAGGTGGGATACCAGTATGGCAGAGCATTTCTTCCAACCCAGGCTGTTAAATTCCCCAAGCTTCATTGACTTAAATAAAATGTCAATTTGCATCCCATGGACAAAGCAGAAATCTGCTGATTTTGTTTATGCAAAGATTTCCCTCCTACCCCAATCTCCGCAAGTATAAGGTATTGTTTAGGAAGATGGGCCATGTGTTTCGGGGCACTCCATCTGTCCCTGGGATATACATAGCTTGTCCCTTTTATGAGTGCCTTGTTCTGTGCTAGATATCGCAATGATCAACATAGACTAAAATTGTGCTGATGCTTACTCTTTTTATATCATGTCTTCTGTGTGTGAGGAATCATGACTGGGGCATGCTCATCCCTACTTTTTCCACAGAACTCTGGAGAATTGTTGCTTTCTTTTTAAGTTAATAGTGTGTCTAATCATTGCCATGATTATCATACCTTCATATTTTAGAAGCTAGAATTCATAAATTTAAGATAGTTTATTTCAGTCTCTATAATTGTGTTTAAGCTTATGTGTTACTGTTAAGTTAAAAAGTACTATTTTTTAAGTGCTCTTAAATTTTGGTTTTCTCTTGTGAGCTGAGTTTGGGTCTCTGGCACCAAGCACCTGACTCTTTGCAGCTATATTTGAATGGGGCCAAAGATGACTTCCTTAAATCATTTTACACATTCTAGGAAAATCTTGCCAAGGGACTGAGAACCGAGGTCCTCATTCTGCTTTTATGGAAGTACCAAAGCAATCTAGATTTTTGTGTCTCTCTTGGGTTCATTGATCTACGAGTCTTTTCTGAACATCTCAGAGCAATTACTGTGGACATAGGATTTTCCTTAATGTGATTTTATTTGTTTTTAATAGAGGAAATGCATGCCGAAATCTGTTATGCCGAGTGTCTCCTACAGAAAGCAGCACTCACGTTTGTGCAGGTAATAAATGTTTGGCTTCGAATCAGTAATGCCGGGGAAGCCTGCCAGTACTACATTGAAAAAATATGGCCCATTCTACGTCAGTGCTTCAGTTCTTCTCACTTAGAGTTGTAATGGAAGATACTTGTTGTTCGGATAAACTTTGACTGAGAAAAGACCCCAGGGAGCTTTGTTCCTACTCAAATGCACTTGGAGTCTGTTTCAAATTTCAGTCTATTGGGAACCACTGCCTTGTAAAGAAACTGTTTTGCAACTACTGCATCTAATTTCTGGATGCTTCTCTGTATGAGAAGTGTGCAGTTATCCCTCTTTGCATTTGCTAATGGTAGAGGGTTGCAGGCCCCGGCAAAAGAGGCATCTTTATCCTTGGCCCCATTGCCTTCTTACACCAGATGCTTCTGCAAAGCTCAGATATGCATGCATTGAGTGTCAGGCTTTTCATATATACTTCAGATTTTATTTTTCCCCTCTTTCTATTCTCATTCCCCTTTCTTGCTTTTATTTCTTCCTTTGGAAAAGCAGATTTTAAAAGTCACTAAACCAAACAATGAATACCTTCCTTTAAGGGACATTTTAATTTTACCTCTAGGAACTATTAGAACAAGTACCTTGCTTAACATTATATCTTCCGACACTTCTAAAAAACATGGACCTTAACATCATGGCCCCATGGGTGGCAATGATGGATACAGTAGGGATGGAGGCAATTGTGAAACTGCAAATCTTCCTCAATCACAATTGTTTTACAATTGAGAGTTGCTTTTCTTTCTTTGTTTTTTTTCCCCCCCCAAAGATTGACTTCTTAGCTTGATTCTGGTTTAGTAAAGTTGAATCAATCTGGTCTATAACCCCGTTTCCTAAAACCCTATGTATTATGAACCATTTTCTTACTGCCTCAGTAAACATAATACTGGTCACAGAGACCCCCAAATTTTCTGATGTGTTTTCAAAATCAGGATTTGACAATCAAATCTGGGATTTAAAGTCTTATTTTATATGTGGGGACTTAAAATTAAACATCTGGGAGATATCTAAGATTTATCTCTCTTCCTCATGCCTCCATATCCAGTTTAGTGGTCATGCTTCTTTTACCTTTTGAAGATTTAGCTATGCCATCTCTACCTCTTCCTTCTATGAGTGTTCTAATGGGAGTGTTCATCAGCTCTTCTCTAGACTGCATAGCGACCTAGTGACCCTCTGGCTCTAATTTCTCTTACCTACAGCTCATTGTCCATTGTGCAGCTGAGCAGCCTCTCAGGGATGAGAGTCTCACCTTGTCATTGCTATACTTCAGTATTTAGTAACTCTCATTGACTATGGCAGTGGTTCTGTATCTGAATATAAGAAAGAAGGCAGGCTTTTTTGAACTAAACTGGTATCTTCTCCCAAATTCCCTCCTTCCCTCTTAGCCATGTGCTCAGATGCTACTGGCAGGTGTGTTGCGTACCTGAGTGGCATGGGTAGAGGTAGATTTCTTACTCCTTAGTTTCGTCTTTGCGGTAGCTTCTGCAGCAGCACTGACTTGTGTAAGCACAGATGGCCAAGCATGCCATGATTAGTATGCTTCCTTGCCTTTTTTTCCCCTTGAGTTTTCCTTGGCTTTCAAAGGTCACATCTGCTTTGCCTTTCTTCATCTGGCCACTTCCTAATCATTTTTTGTGCTTTAAGCCCCAGTGCTTCCAGGAAGCTTCTGTGGACCTCTCCATTCCCTCCTCTCCCCTGCTCTGTGCTCTTGTGACGTCCTGTTCATTATCTCCATCCATGTGCATGACTCCAGCTCTTAGCACCTTGTATTGCTTTTGTCTGATTTTGCATTCAGATGCCTGGTGTAAAATAGGCATTCAGTACATGTTTGGTGAATCATGAAACAAAATATTATTATTTGAGGCAGATTTTAATGTGATTTAAGAAATTCTTTCCTGTCCAGTCTTAGAACTTGTATAATCATAAGATTCCTTAAAATAAGAAGATAAACATTTAAGTTGCATAGTGAATTTCATGTTTAATGATTCTTAAACTAATTTAAATGTTAAAAATTTAATAATCAATGAAATTTGTAAGCTAAAATAGGTTTTTCTCTTGCTTCAGAAGGATGCTAAAGTGCACAAGACGTAAACACCAGAGCATCTTTCCATTTTCAATAGACTAGAAAAATATCCTCCTTCGAAATGTGAAATATGGGAATGTCTCCATTAGCACTATCTGTTGGATTAACTTCTTTTAAGCAGGTTTTGATATAGTTTATTGAGAGAGTCTCTTACAATCCTAGAATGGTGACCCTGAGAATGACATTCATTTAGACCCTCTGCTTCAATTTTATGGTTGATGAGCATCAGGCAAAGAGAAGTGAAATGATTTTTTTCCCCCAAAACAAAATTGCTTATTAGTGACAATGAATTTAGAATCCAGAACAATAATTTTCCTAATAATGTAGATGAGTAAAATTTACAATGTTAAATAGACTGAATGCTGAAGGATCCTACAGAAGAAGAACCATTATCCCATTTACTGGAGTGTGATGGGCTGGATAGTTTGTCTTTAGAGCATATCCTTAAATTACCCATTGTGGATTCTGTTGAACCCAGGAGAAAATTTGTGCAGTAGATGATGTTTATTGCAATAGATTTGGACTAACATATTTGGCCACTAAGTGATAAGGATTACTTCCTTAATTACTTGCTTGAAGTAATGCAAAGATTTTTAAATGTGTACTTTTTATTGCCATCTAACTTGGAAGAAAAATTACAGAAAAGCATTTCAAATGTAAAGCAAGAAGAATGTTTTAATTTAAAAACTATGTCCTCAAAAGATAGTGTTTTGTTCTAATCACACAAATACATAACTGTGACGGCAGTATAAGGATCTTTTGCTAAGTGATCTAATTATTTAACTGAATTGTTTTCAGGATGAAAATATGATCAACTTCATCAAAGGTGGACTAAAAATTAGGACGAGTTACCAAATATATAAGTAAGTTAAAAATTAAGATGTGGTTTTTAGATGATTCTTGTACTCTGTCCACTTTGTACTTCAAAATTCTTATCAGGTACAACTAGGTTTTTTTTATTTGGTGTTGGTAAAAATGGACTTGATTTTTTGGCCTACTGAGTATGTATTCAGTGTTATAGGACAACAGAATTTAAATTTAAATGCTATCTTGAGAAAAATAGCTGGAATAAAACTATTGATGTAATTTCTTTTTTTTTTTATTGATGTAATTTCTAATTACATAATCTTAGTTTCTCTCTCCTAAAATCAGTATTTAAAATTACAGTTATGTCTTGGTCAGATGCTAGAGCAGTACTGCTTGATAGAATGTTCTGAAGTGATTCAAACGCTCAGTTAAGGTGGATCATAGTGTTGTCCGTATCTATCTTCCATATGCTTACTGATTTTTATTTAGTTGTTCTATCATTTGCTCATAGAGTTAAAAATCTCCAACTTTGATTCTGGGGTCACCCATTTCTCTCTTTAGTTCTGTCAGTGTTTGCGTTGTATATTTAGAGCCTCTGTTACTAGGTTTATATATATCTTAATGATTTTATCTTCCTAATGAATTAAACTTTTTATCATTATGAAATGTCTCTACTTAACTCCTTATAATATTTCTTGTCTTGAAGTCTGTTTTGTCTGATAGTAATATAGCTACTCATGCTTTTTTATAATTAGTGTTTGCATGATATATATTCTTATACTTTAAACCTATCTTTGTTTATATATATATTTTTAATATTTAAATTGCATTTCTTATAAATGTGTATAGTTGGGTCTTGCTTTTTAATTCAATATAACAAACAAATGATATGTTTGCACTTGTGGCTACCATTTTTCTTGTTATCTTGTCTCATTTGGTTTTCTCACTTCTTTTTAGCCTTTTATATCCTTATTACAATTTTTAAAATATATATTCCAGTGTAATCAGTCCCTCTATTGTTTTCTTAGCTATAGTTCTCTTTAATTTTTTTTTAAAGGTCACTCTAGTAATTATATTTCTGAACTCATCACAGTCAACTTAGAGTTAGTATTGTACTGTTGCCCATAAATTATGAGATTTTTGTGAAAATATAGTTTCATTTACTACTTGTCTTTTATACTATTTTTATGATAGTACACCTACATATATTATAAACCCCACAATGCTTTGTCAACCTGTTTTCCGTAAAGATTTATTTATTTGAGAGAGAGAGAGAGAGAGCGAGCAAGCATGTGCAGTGCACCCAGGCATGGAGAGAAAGGGGCAGAGGGAGAGAATCTTCACTCAGACTCCCCTGTGAGCATGGAGCCGGACTTGGGGCTCAGTCTCATGACCCATCAGATCACTACCTGAGCCGGAACCAAGAGTCAGACACTTGCCAACTGAGCCATCCAGGTGGCCCAACAATAGTACCGTGGCTTTCTATATTAGTTCTAGGCACCCCACATTGAGTGGATTTGAGAGTACTTTCAGCTGAAGAGCCATGTAAATGTAAAGTCCGTATGAGAGTTAATTTTTCCCATCTTTCAAAGTTCAGCTCTTCTCCAGTTTCCTACTGCTTTTTGTTTTCACTTTCCAGTGCCTGAAAATACATTTTAAGTATATATTTAAATTCTGAAGTTTATTATTATTACTGTGGGAGAGTTAATCTAATATATGCTAGTATGTGTGTCATTATTAGAAGCAGATTTCCACTAGTGAGAGCAGAACCAAGATTTAGTATTTTAAGAGATAATTTTACCCAAAGTGATTTCATAAAATTATATTGTATTTAAAATGGTAGAGATAGGGGGTGTTTTGGGAAATTGACATACTGTTTTTAGTTTTCTTCTTGAAATACTTTTGAGATGATGTAAAAGGATGGTAAAAAACTAATTGCTTTTCTAGTCACCAAAACTTAAAAATGGAATAAATTCAAGTAGTTTTAAAATGGCGCAAACATCTGTATCAGTGTGTGGATACATGTAGTTTTGTACATACATACACACAGACTCACACAGATATTTACTTGGGAATTAAAAATATAGGAAATTCCTATATATCCATAGGTCTCTTTCAAAATAGTGGGAAAAATTAGATACTTTAATAAATGGTTTTGGGAAAATTCGTTCTTCATTCTGGAAAAAGACAGTATTAAAATAAATTCCATGTAGATTTAATATGAACATTTTTTAAAATTTTATTTATTTGAGAGTTAGAAAGAGATAGAGTGCATGAACAGGAGAGGCAGAAGGAGAGGGAGAGAGAGAGAATCTCCAGCAGACTCTGTGCTGAGTGAAGCCCCATGCAGGGTTCCATCTCACGACCCTGGGATCATGACCTGAGCCAAAATCAAAAGTCGGACATTTAACTGACTGAGCCACCCAGGTGCCTCTAATATTAAAATATTTTTTAAAGGAAAACGTAGGAAAGTATTTTTTTATAGTCCTAAAGCACAAAAGCCTTTAAACTTTTATTTAAAATTTTTTACTTTGAAATAACTTTATAATTTTTTTAACTTCATAATTTTTACAAAGAATTTTTATATATTCTTCATCCAGAGTCACAAATGTTAGTATCTTACAGAACCACAGTATAATTATTAGAACCAAGAAACTAGCAATGATTATCAATTACTAATAGTAATAACAGTTAGTTAACAATAACTAACAGGATTATCAATTACTTCACTGATTTTACTCTGATTTCTCTAATTGTCCCACTAATGTTCTTTTTCTGGTCCAGAAATGAATCCAAGATTGGGGATATTGCATTTAGTTGTTACGTTTCTTCAGTCCTTTTTAATCTGAAAGAATTCATCCGTCTTTCTTTATTTTTATGGCCTTGACATTTTTGAAGGATACTGGGCAGTTATTTTGTAGAATGTCTCTCAGTGGGGACTCTCCAATGTTTCTTCATGATTACATCCGGATTTTGCATCTATGGCAAAGATACCATTCAGGTGATATTGTGTCTTTTGTAGTGCATCGTATCAGTAGATACATGATATCAATTTTAGAAGCCTTTTTAAGTGTGACATAAAATCAGGAATCATAAGAGATGGATGGCTTGACCAATTAACATTTCAGTTTCATCACGGCAAAATATACCAACTGTAGTAAAAAATACAAATGGAAATGTAATACAAATGATTTGGGGCAAATGACAGTGTGAGGAATTCATAAGTTGGTGGAAATCTAAATTGGTAGAGTTTTCCCAAAGGATGTTTGATAATATGTATTGAAATTAAGAAAGTGTATCACCTTTGACCTCAGAAGTCCCTTTTTTAGGAATTTATCCTAAGGATAGTTGTGATAGATTAATTATAGTTTCAGTATTTGATGTAGGAAAAGTACTTGATGAATGTACAAGCACACTTTTAGCAGCATTGTTTATAATATGGAAAACATAGAAACAACATAAATATTTAACAATAGGAATTTAAATTATTCCACAGAATAGAATAATATGCACTTGTTAAAAAATAAGGTAGCTCTCATGCATTTTCATAGAAAATCATCAATATAATCTATAGAACAGTACATACTACATGATCCCATTTGTGGTTTTTAAAGATTGCATTCTTACTAAAGCATAAAACCACCTAGAAGGCTATGTACCAGGCTGTTAACAGTGACCATCCTCTGCAGGATAGTCATGCAGGGGCACTCACACTTTCTTCATGTTATTTGAAAATTTTGTAACAATCATCTATTATCAGAAAATAGAACATTTATGTTTTGATTTAGAAAGAAAAGAATTTTGAAAATCATTTCTACCTTTTGCCATCCTATTGAATTTTTGATGTTTGAGTTTTTATTTTTTAAAAAGATTTTATTTATTTATTCATGAGAGACACAGAGAGAGGCAGAGACATAGGAAGAGGGAGAAGCAGTCTCCCCACAGTCCTGATGTGGGAACTCAATCCCAGGATTCTGGGATCATGACCTGAGCCAAAGGCAGATGCTCAACCACTGAACCACCCAGGTGCCCCATTTGGTTGAGTTTTTAATGCATGTGTATGAGCATATATAATTATCTTTTTATATAACGAAATCATATACTTCATGTCATTTTGAAATTTCCTTTTTCAGTTCATGTCACAAAATTTTAGGTCATTAAATATTTTTAGTTCATCACAGATTTTAATAGCTGTATAGCATTCTATTCTGTGGTTATACCACATGTGTGTATGTATAAATAGATATACTCATGTGACTATCCTAATTAATTTCCTCCTGTTGCCTGTTTAGTTTATTTATACATTTTCATTATAAATACTAATATGGTATCTCTTATAGGTAGAATTCTGTGTTTATCCATGTAATTTCCTTAGAATAAAATTGGATTTATTGGGTCAATGGTATGCATGTGTTGAAGATTTTTGATATATAGTGCAAAATTATTCTGAAAAATAATTGAGTTGGCAAACTTTTCTTAAAAGGCTAGATAGTAAATATGTTTGTGCTGTTGGTCATAAGATCTCTATTGCAACTACTCAACTCCATGACTGTGGAGTCTAAACAGCCATTGACAACAAATGAATGGATGGATATATTTACATTTCCATAGTTTGCCAATCTCCATACTATAACCACCTTTTACCAAAATAGATGAAAAGTCTTCCCTTTGCCAGCACTGGTTTTCCATTATAAAAATTAAATTAATGCTTTATTATCACAAAAGTGGCATGTATATTTAGGAAAATGGGAGAATGTAGATGAGCAGATATTAACATACAAACTTCATATTCTTTTCACACAGTGATAATAGCTGTTAAACCTTAGTATATTTTCTTTCAGAATATTCCTATTCAAATCTAAAGATACATGCATTTTTTAATGTGCATACTCTTTTATAACCTGCTTTTTTTGGCAATTAAGTCTTCATTTCATGTAATACTCCATCTCTCTTCACATTTTCCTGGTTGGCCGCAGATTTCTTTTACTGCTGTTATGTCTATACCAGGATGCAACACAAAACTGTCTACTGCATCTAATGTTTACGTCCATTAGGTATCTTTTATTCTAGAACAGTCTCTATATTCATGATGGTTGTTGAGAAGCCTAAGTCTGTCATCCTGCAGAATATCCCATGGATTTGTTTGTTGGCTTTCTTGAGTTTTCATTTAAGCTTGTTCTTTTTCTTAGTTAGCTTAGGCTGCCATAACAAAATATCACAGACTGGGTGGCTTAAAGAACAGAATTTTATGTTCTCACATTTCTGGAGATTGGAAGTCTAAGATCAGGGTGCCAGCATGATTAGCTTCTGGAGAGAACTCTCCTTTGGGATTGCAGACAGATGGCTATCTTCTCACTCAGCCTTTACGTGGTCAAGAGAGAGATAACCCCTCTCTCTTCCTCTTTTTCTAAGGTCACTAGTCTTATCAGATTAGGGCCCCACCCTTGATTACCTCCTAAAAATCCCTATCTTCATATACTCTCACACTGGGGCTTAGAGCTTCAATTTACAAATTTGGAGAGGGGCATAATTAATTAAGTCCATTGCATTCTTCTCGCCCCTTATATTCCCTATAAACTGGAAATTAGATCTCTAGGCTTACTGGATTCAGGTTAAATAAATTTGGCTAGAATACATCATAAATGAAGTTGTATGTTTTGTAATTATATTATACAAGGTGATACATGATATCTGGTTATTCCTTATTACCTTTAAGATATATATTTGTCAGTTTGGTAAGCACTTCCTATTCATTACCAAGCGTTATATCTTTGTCGTTGTTTGAATTTGCATTTCTCTGATCAAGTATTTGCCTTTTGAAGATGTGAAGGGAAGAGGGGAAATGAACAGAAAAGAAATGAAAATGAGAAATCAGAAGGATTTCCTTGAATGGAATAGGAAAAGAAAAACAACAAATGGGTCCAGTTTGATGGAATTTGCGGTCCTTTTTCAGTCTTTCCTACTTGCAAGCTGTAATTTATTCAATCTATTTGAGATCACACTGAAATTCACATTTTTTTGGCAGTAGCACCTCAGATACTCCGTGGAATGTAGGGCTGTTGAAGCGTGCACAGCAGCTGAGGGACAGAGCATACCTGAGAAGTCCTCTATGAAACATTGCTGGAAAGCTGTGAGGTCACAGCCCTGCGGTCCTGTGGCTCTGGAGTCATGTCTGCTGATACTCCAGCCCTGTCTTGCTTCCAGCCTAGAAAGATTGGTCCTGATAAAACAGTGCAGAAATGGGCATGTCAGTTTTTCCTTAATGACTATGACCAGAGTAGACTTAAGGTTAGACTCAGCACAGCCACCTTCATTGAAAAACTGTCTAGTGTTTTGGCTAATGACATTTATTTTATAGTATGTCAGTGTGAAATTTGACTTAATGTTAATTTTCAGAGTCATGGTATACTTACACGGTAACTTTTTTCTTCGATCCAGAGAATGTCTTTCTATTCTGCATGTAATTCAGAAGAACAAAGGTGAACAGCAGTTCTTCTATGAGTTTGAAGGGGGTGTCAAGCTTGGAATAGGTGCCTTTAATTTGGTAAGTAAATAGTTATAAAGCTGCCAGAGGCTTTAGTAAAAGAACCTAAGATTTCCAGTGCCTTCTCTACTGTGTGTGAACCTCTACCTGGGTTTGGTTGACAAGTGGCTATAGTGGGATCAGTTTTTCTGTGTTGTGATCCAATGGTGACTTTGGTCAGTATGTGTTGTAAAGTTCTGCACACACTCAGAGTAGTTTTGGATTGTACAAGAGGGGAAGCATGCAGTACTCTGAATGGACTAACAACATTTTTGGTAATAAGGAACTTGGAATCTGGTTCCATTTCCACATCTGAAATATTGGTGGCTATGGAATTGAAAATAGACGAGACAGTAATGATATAGCTTGAGGCATGATTTTGATGCTGTGAGGGAGACAAAGAGTTTGAGTAGATATTTATCAAATTGTAATATATTATTTATAGATTTTAAAATTTATTAAAGTTTGACTGGGATTAAAGAGAAAATGAAATAATACACCTGACTGTGTACTTCACCATGGCCTCTTTGTTCATGAGTCCAGTTGGTCAGTGATGGGGTGGCTGGGGAAAGAGGATGGCTGGCTGTAGAACAGGTCATCCAATTTGATTATTCAAATCCTCCTCTGCTGAGGTCAGACTTTGGTGAACATTCACATGGAACACAAATATCTTCATGTTTTTTGTTCACTCAGAGAGGCCTATACCCTTTCTTAAACCTCTTTGTCATTAATTTTCCAATGATATTCCTTTCGAATCTCTGGCCATTCAGCAAACCATTGATTCCAGTCTGTGGATCTGTATAGAATTGCATACATGGTTATTTCTCCTTCCAAGCAAAGTGAACAAGCAAGTAAACTGCTTGAAGTCTTGCACTGGCTGCATCTCCCCTCCCCACTATTCCCTAGGGATGTCCTAAAAAGGAACTGTTGTGTCATGCTGTTCACTTTTGGATGATGTCGCCATATTATGCAGAATTCAACAGACTTGCTTTCTCGAAAAGGATGTTAAAAGGAATCTTGTTTGGAATTAGGCACTGAGGGATTGCCTTCTCATCACTTCATCATTGCACGTAAAAGGATCAAGTAATCTCTAGAGCACCCTGAGAAGGCCAGGGTTGTTTTGTTTTTTAATTTTTAGGTTCATTGTCTTAGCTAAATGAAATTAATTCACAGGTAATGATTATGGTATGTGAAGTATGTGCTGACTAGATATGTATAGTAGTTTAAACTTGGTTTAATATTTCATATTACCGAATTATTAAAACTTTAAGTTGTTTGGAGGTTAACGTTTACCTATAGTTCAATACACTAGCAAATATACTTTTTTTTTTTTCTTGTAGATGCTCTCCCTTTTACCAGCACGGATCATCAGACTACTAGAATTTATAGGATTTTCAGGAAACAGGGTACAAATTTAATTTTATCTTAATTTTGACAGGAAAGATAAAATAGTATTGAATACAAGAGCAATGCAGCACATCCTCATAACAAGCATGACCATTATTGGCAATTTATTTGCAGAACAGTAAAGAGTCATTGGGGTCTTGATGATGCTTTTCAGGAGCTGAGATGGTTCTTCTCTTGAAAGCTAAAATTTTTTTCTTCATTACTTACAATTATGATTTACTAATATTGCAACTTGCTGGACTTTAGTACTCTTGTGTGGTTAAAATATGCAACCCCAGAGTGTTCTGTACAACCAGTGAATTAGGCTAGATTTCCATGTCTCACATTTTATGATTCACATGGATCAAGTATAGTTAGAGTGTTTTGGGTTTCCTTGCACTTTTACAAGTTTCATGATAAAACTAAGCAAGGAAATTTTGTTTTCCATGAATTCCATTTGTTATGTTTCTGTGTGGTTGTTTTTGTAGCATATAACATTTATTAAACATAATATTCAGTAAGCTATTACACGGATTGCCTTATTGCAAAAGCTATCCATGTTAATGAAGAGGGCAAGTTTTGAGAACTATATGAGAACAAGATTATCTGGGGGAACAGATTATCATAAAGGTCCTGTGCTTTCTATTTCTGTGCTTCTGCTACTCTCTAATTTAGATGTCCTCTCTAGCCAGCAGCCTCCCAAATAATGTTCTCTTGAGAGCCTCTCCATCATTAGATTTGAGATAAATGTCGGCTATTCCTCCAACTTTCCCTTATTTTCTCCCAGTGAGACTCGAGTATTCCTGACTCAGAATCATTGAGTTATTTTTCTTATGACACTCACCTGTGTTCATGTAGTGTCTTGCCTATTTGATGGAAAGATCTTCGAAGACAAACTCTATTTGTTCATACCCACCATAGTGTCTTGTGCTTAGATCCTCAATATGTCTTAATAAACTAATATTTTTTATTAGAGAAATAGAACATTTCTATGAAATGAGCACCACCCTTTTCCTCTCCCTAGAATCACATAATGTGAAAAAAAATTGTGAGATTATCTTATGCCAGTTTACAATATAAAGTTTGTTTCTGGTTAGGGATTACCCCTATTCTAAGCTCTTGAAAAATAAACTCCACCTTCTTGGAGGGTGGAGATACATGAACCAGGCCTCCGTAGTGTCGGAATAATTTTTCAGTCATGTTTTCCCCTTCTGAAATGCATTTGCTTCCCATAGGAGTTGGGCCTTCTGCAGTTACAGGAAGGTGCATCAGGAAGAAGCATGAGGTCTCCACTGTGCTGCTTAACTATACTAGCTTTTCATACTTACATCTCCCTAATACTTGGTAAGGACTGGATTACATTTTATGTCATTGAAAGTTGATGACCTTTCATCTGAGTAAGTAAAAAATTTAGATTGTTCCCTGAAAACCAATATAACGTTGTATGTTAATTATATTTCAAGTAAAACAATTGGAAAAAAATTACCAAGAGCTAGTAGTCCATATTTGTTTACTTTTTTTTCTTTTTTGAGTAAAGATGAAAAATAGTGACATTTGTCATAGTAACATTTAGCAGAGGGGCTGGAGGGTTTCTTTCAAAGAATATTTTTTATCTGTTCTCAGCTAAAAACATTCTGTAAACCTTAAGGTGATCTATTTTAGCATATTTGTATTGCATTTCTTTCTGAGTAGAAAATTAAATTTTTGGTTAAGATAAATTAATAATTGCTATTAAAACCAGAAAGCCCAATTAAGATTCAAAGATAACTGCTTCTATACTTATGCATTAGTCTGTCCTAGAGGTTTCTTAAACTACAGTCATAGATGGGACTTGTCTTACTTTATTTCTCAAATGCAGAAATGCCAAATTAACAGTTTTTATCTTTTCCATGAATAGGTGTTTGCTATATTTTAATGAAATGTGGAGAACTACTTATAAGTATCACCCTGTTTCGTGAAGACTAAGGTTTTTCCTGTTGAATTTCTAGGTACAGGAGAAGTGAATGTTGTGGAAGCGGAGAACCTCCTTGCACCCTTCCTCCGGCAGTTTCCAAATGTATGCTTAGAATTTCAAGTGCGTGTTTCAATCATAACCAATCAAGCAGGGCTGGCGCTGATCTGTTTTCTTCCTTTCTCCACAGGGCTCCCTCATGTTGTTTTATCATGCCCGGATAGAGCTGCTGAAAGGGAATGTGGAAGAGGTAATTTATTTGGGGGGGAGGGGAGTAATTGGGGAGTTGTCTGTAAGGTGGGGCTATGTCATATTCATTCAACATAAGTAAGTTCAGCTTATATGCTAGACAGAAATAAAGACAAAATATATATTTAAATGCTCCAATTTAATTTTGTGTGTGTATTCTATAGTAGATTTCTGAATATGGTTTGTACTTACACGTAAGTCCATGAGGCAGCTTGGGGTAGAATATTACAAAAGTATAGGTGATTGCCTTTAAGGGAATTCTTCAAAAAACTTTATAGTTTCTGTATCATATATTGACTTTGAAATCTAGCCCCTGCATAAGATACAACTTCACTGTTTTGCACATACTCCTTATCAAGGGAAATGATTCATTAATTCTCTTGAAGAAGACAACTATGGAGTTTTTCATATAAGTATACTAACCAATAATTTTCTTCTACACAAATGAGATCAAACCTATGGATTTTTCTTTGATTTGTTTTTTTCTTCTTCTACTTACAATACATCTTGGATTTCTTTCCAGGTCAGTATATCTAAATCTCCCTCAGTCTTTTTGATGGCTTGATTTCATTCCATTAGATGGATGTATGATACTTAATAAAGCGTCCCACTACTGATAGACATTTGGCTACTATAAATAATGCTTTTGTAAACCTCTCATGTATATTTCTGTGCACATGTGTATTTATATAAGATTCTGATAATCAGGATTTCTAGGTCAAAGGTGTTCGCATTTTGATAAATTTAGACAAATTGCCCTCCTAATTAAGGTTAATAACTAAGGTTATCCCATTTAAACTTCTATAAAGAAATGAGAATACTTGTTTCCAATATAGTTTGGCAACTCTGGATTTATCTGTTTTATTTTTGCCCATGTCATGGCCAAAATATGATAATCTATTTTTTTAAAGATTTATTTATTTTAGAGAGGGAGAGAAGATGTGCACACAAGAGTGGGGGAGGAGCAGAAGAGGAGGGAGAGGGACAAGTAGACTCTCTGCTGAGCATGGCACCCGACGTGGGGCTTGATCTCAGGAACCTGAGCCTGAGATCATGACCTGAGCCAAAACCAAAAGTCAGACACTCAACCTGCCAAGCCATCCAGGTGCCCTGAGAATCTAACTTTTAAATTTTTATTTTTCAGCGTATAGATTTCTTCATGTGTGTGTTTGTCACTTGTATATCTTTTTCTCTGATTTACCAATTCATATCTTTGACAATTTTCCCATTGAGTTGTCTTTTTTTTAAGGATTTTATAAAATTGTTGTATGATAAGGGTTAATTTTGGCCACTTGTGGATGTAATGATACCTTCTCCCTGCCTTCCTTTAACTTTGTTTAAGGTATATTTTAACTTACGGGAGTTCTGGCTTTTATTTTCAGTCTTTTTGTAAAGGACTTCTGCATTTTATATCTTACTTGGGAAGGGACTTCACTTCTCTCACATTATAAAGTCCCACAGCCCCCTCAAGAAGCTAAATCGAGGCAGAATTTAATTGTATCATTGCATGGAGGGGAAGGATCATTATATCATCACACTGAATGGTTTAATGAGTGATGCTTTTGTTCTTTTTGTACAAAGTGATTTATGTATTTTTCCATTAGGTTATTATCTCCTTGTCTATTATATGGATGATCAGCTTTATGCAATTGACTTATAGGCACAAGAGATATTTCGAAAATGCATTTCAGTTCAAGAAGAATGGAAACAGTTTCACCATCTCTGTTACTGGGAGCTGATGTGGATTTATGTATTCCAACAAAACTGGATGAAGGCATATTATTATTCCGATCTGCTTTGCAAAGAAAGTAAATGGTCCAAGGTAAAGTGCTATGCTTTCATTAATGTTACCTATTTGTTAATAAGTGTCCAGGATGACTTTTTTTTAGGACTGTTTATTCAGAAGTATGACATCAACACTGCTTTCTCAACTGAGGGGTTCATTGAAGGAGGAAATAGGCATTAAATACCTACTGCTTATAAGTACTGCCCTTAGCTCTGAAAGCATCCACACAGTCCTTTTCAACAAAGAGGTTTCATCTCTGAGGATGAAATGCACTTACATTTAAAAGTTATTAAATATCAATAGTCGGGCAGCCCCGGTGGCACAGCGGTTTAGCGCTGCCTGCAGCCCAGGGCGTGATCCTGGAGACCCTGGATCGAGTCCCACGTCGGGCTCCCTGCATGGAGCCTGCTTCTCCCTCTGCCTGTGTCTCTGCCTCTCTCTCTCTCTCTCTCTCTCTCTCTCTCTGTGTCTCTATGAATGAATAAATAAAATCTTTAAAAAAATAAATATCAATAGTCTTAATATTTTTTCTGGAGACTTTATGATGGCCTGATGATGAGGCATTTCATAATAATTAAAATTAATTCTCACCTATTTGTGAGAAGTTGGGAGAAATGAGATAACGATTTCTTGTTCATTCTGTATACTCTCTTATCTGTGAACACTATTGTTATATAATAGGAAAGGGGTCAAAATTAACTGAAAAGTGTTATTCTCAATAGGACCAAGCAGTATAAGACTTCATTTTCTTTTTTTTCTTAGGTCCCTTTTAAATGTTACCTCTGGACAGTTTGTGGGTCATTCCTGACATGCAAGATAGAAATTTCATGTACCTAGAGATGTTCTGTACTCACTGCTTTTCTTCTTTTCCTCAAGGCAACATATGTGTTCTTGAAAGCTGCAATTTTGAGTATGCTTCCAGAGGAAGATGTAGTAGCAACTAAGGAGGATGTAGTAACTTTATTCAGGTAAGCAAGGTACTATTGCTATAACAAAGATCCTAAATACATCTTTCTTTTCCTAAGTGTTCTCCCATGTTTTACCTTCATATTTTCATTAATTTCTACTCATTCAATGCAGGAACCTTTAAAAACCATACTCAGAGAAGGTCTGCTATGAACTAACCTGTTTAACTTTGTCTAGATCAGTATGTACCCATCATCTGTAATGTTTTTGCACACCTACTCTGTGAGGGGTACCGTGTTAAGTGCTGAATAAACAGGCATGGTTCCTGTCCTTGTGGAATTTATAATCTTGTAGCAGGACCAGATATCAGGAAAATTATCACACAAATAATTGCAAAATCATAATACATGACTAATTTTTTTCTTACTACTTTTCTTGCCATTCCTTCTTAGTATCTTTGTAGGCTTATCCTATTTTATCCAGCTATTAAATATTGGTGTGTTAGAGCCTCAACCTTAGGAAATCTCGACCAGGCCAAGTTTAAATCCCTAGTTCAGACCTGACTGAGCTCCAGACCCATAAAGCCAGCTCCCATTTGTCATCTTTACTTGGATATATGAAAGTATTTTATTTATTTTTAAAATATTTTATTTATTTTGGAGAAGATAGGTGAGGGGCAGAGGGAGAGGGAGAGAGAATCCCAAGTAGACCTGGGGCTTGATCGCATGACCATGAGATCATGAGCTGAAACCAAGATTTGGATGCTTAACCAATTATATCACCCAGGTGCTCTGAAAGCATTTTAAACCCACCATGCTAAGTCTTCCTAAACAAACCTGATATTTTTTCCTCTCTTGGTGATTGGGATCACAATTAGCAGGCCAGAAGCTGATAATAACTTGCATCACCAAGAGTACCCACTCACTGTCCCCTCCTACCAGCATTCCCCAATGGGAGAAGTATGTATACAAATGTAGAGGCAGTAATGGTTGAGATGGTATCTGAAGGTGCAGTTGGAGCTACTGAGGCAGCAGGGAGTTGTGCTGGTACAGTTTCAGACCAAAGAGCCTATTGCAGGAAGGAGCACTGCCCATTAAAGAACTAAATGGTGATACTTGATAGGACATCATGTTATATTTTATGTACAGCTGATGAACAACATGAGTTTGAACTGCATAGGTCCACTTACATGTAGATTTCTTTTGATAACTATAGTACGATATTAAAAATTTATTTTTCTTCCTTATGATTTTCTTAATAACATTTTCTTTTCTTTGGCTTACTTTATTTTAAGACTATGATATTTAATACATACGATATATGTTAATTAACTTTATGTTATCATTAAGGCTTCTGGTCAACAGTAGGCTGTTAACAGTTAAATTTGGGGGGAGTCAAAAGCTATATGTGGGTTTCTGACTATGCGGGGATTGGTGTCTTTAACCCTCACTGTTCAAAGGTCAGCTGTATATAGGTCAAAAGAAAAGAAAGGTCAAGGGGCATCAAACTATGTCTCACAGAACACAGTATTCTATTTAAATATAAGACAGAGTTGACAGGGATCATTGGTAACCCTAGCAGAGGCTGATAGGTAAAGTGGAAGTGGAATTCAGACTGGGGTGGCTGAAGAAAAGAAATGCAGAGTTGATGATAAATGCATCCCGGATAATTCTGACTTTGAAGGGGAGGGGAGAGAGAGATTGGTAGTTGGAGGGAGATGTCATGTCAGAGAATGTTTTAGTGGGAGAGTTGTGAGTATTCTCAAATACCATTAGGAAGGATCCAGTTGGTAGAAGAGAGGTTACACATAGAAGCAAGAAATGGGATGACTGATATTTATAAGTGTCCTAAAGGGCAGGAGGAATTAGAATCGAAAACACTGATGGCATGGTTGGTTTTATCTAGGAGGAGGACCAGGTGCTCTGTTGTATCACACAGGAAGAAGTCCAGAGTGGGTACAGAGGCAGGCAAACTTATGTGTTGTGGCATGAGAAGGAAGGCTCTCCATCTGCTAGCTTGCTTTTCTTTACAAAGTAGGGTCATATACTGAGGGAGAAAGGAGTGAGCTGCAGGTGTGGGAGAATGGAAAATGTTCAAAATCATTGTTGCAGAAAGTGGGACGGTGGGGTTTTGAAAGAAACACCACAGGAGGAATGACCATTTGAGGTCAGTGCTAAGGTTTACAGGGATGCCAGTCTGCTTTCACACAGACACTGAGCCTCACCCAGGAATGCAGTTTTATCAGATGAGCGTTGCAATTAGCCAGTGGATGAGGGCATTTAGGACTTCGGACAGTGTGTGCAGGAGTCAAAGGACAAAGCCATCTAAGCAGGAACATGGAGAGAGAGAGAGAGATGTGAATCAGGAGAAGGGCAAAGAGCAAGTAGACCAGCAGTCTTACTAGAATAGCCAATTTAGAATGAAGAGAATGGTATTCAGAGTGGTGTGCTTGAATTTGCGTTTCAAGGTAGAAAAGTTGCAGGCAATGGAAAAATGCTCTAAGATATGACTGCAGGGGGGCGGGAGGCTCTGGTAGCAGAGAGGAGATGACCACTGGAGAGGAGGAAGTGAAGGGGCAGAGAAGCTGTGTTACATTCTTCAAACCTAATTAACGATGAGACCTTTTACATGGAATCCTGTATTCTGTGCCCATGTTAGGAGAAATGATAGCCTCAAGACTTATCAGGGCAAATTTGAAGGTAATACCAAGCCTATTTTTTTTATCTTCTTTTTAGAAGCTCTTTTTGAAAATAGGACCATGTATACTAACTATAGAATCAACATCAGTGGATGCTGTGGTAGGATTAATGCCACCTCTTACTGGTGAAATGCATGTCCTTGTTTCACACACACAGCCGATGGAATGGGATGGGATATTCAGATATGTTGAAATCTTTTAATCTCCATTTGTTTTCTTCCACTTCAGAATAAGTTTTCTTCATATTCAAAACAATTTCCATGAAACATGTAACCAGTCTTATTTTCAGGAGAAAGCTTGAGGTCTGCTCTATGATAGCATCGAATAGTTTTGTTTCTTAAATTCCACATATGAGTGAAATCATATGGTATTTGTCTTTCTTTGACTGACTTATTTCACTTAGCATAATTTCCTCTAGTTCCATCCATGTCATTGCAAATGCCAAGATTTTATTCCTTTTGATGACTGAATAGTATTCCATTGTGTGTGTGTTATCCATTCATCTGTTGATGGACATTTGGGCTCTTTCCATATTTTGGCTATTGTAGACATTGCTGTGATAACCATTGGGTGCATTGCCAATTTTATATCTAGATTTTCTTGATTGTATTTGATAAAAAAATACACTAGCTAAGTTAACTAGAGAGAACTATGTGTCAGTCAGTGGTTCTCACATTTGAGCACGCATCTGAATCACCTGGAGGGCTCACTAGACTCCAGATTGCTGGGCCCAGCTCTGGAATTACTAATAATAGGCCACTCCACCACTGGGGTGGAGTCTGAAAGTTTGTGTTTAGGACACATTTCCAGATGCTGCTGCTGTTGCTGGTGTGGGGAGTGCATTGTAAAAACTGCAAGTATCAGTAACATATGTGTTCTAATGACCTTTTGCTGGGGCTGGGGTTGGGTTCTTCACAGACAGGTGGATAGCTTGAAGCAGAGAATTGCAGGGAAATCTATCCCTACTGAGAAGTTCGCTGTAAGGAAGTCTCGACGTTACTCTGCCTCGTTGCCTGCACCAGTGAAGCTCATCGTCCCTGCCCTGGTATCTGCCTTTATTTTATTTACTTTTTGTGTTCTATAAAGAAATTGTTAAAAATAAATAAATAAAAGAAATCGTCCATTCACAGCAGCAGGAAGCACACCTGTGAAGTTTATGTTTGCTGTGAAGTTTAGCTCAATTAAGAGCCATTGTAAGAGTGTTTGTAAGGTGAACATTTATAAATTATTAATAATTAAATAATCATAAAAATTATAGCCAATTTTTTGACTAGTTGGTATGTTCTAAGCATTATATTTTAAAATATATATCATTTAATATTTTTGAAAAGTTATTTAAAAATATTTATTTATTCATTCGTGAGGGACACACACAGAGAGAGAGGCAGAGACATAGTCAGAGGGAGAAGCAGATTCCCTGCGGGGAGCTCAATGCGGGACTCAATCCCAGGACCTCGGGATCAGGACCTGAGACAAAGGCAGACTCTCAACCACTGAGCCACCAGGTGCCCCTGAAAGGTTATTTTAAAAAACATATCATTTGGTTCTTACAGTAACTCTGTTGAGGGTACTTTCTCTCTGTGGTCTCATTTTACAGATAAGGAAACTCAGGCAGGGAGGTGAGTTGGCTTAATTAAAGTTGAGTTGAATTCTAATGCAAGCCATTTATTTGATTTTATCTTTTCTAGTAGCCACATTAAAAATTAAGAGGTCAAATACTGTAAAAAGTAAAGGAAATAGTCAAATAATTTTAAGAATATATTTTGTTTAACCCAGTATATGTAAAATGTTTGTTTGAACATGTAACCAGTAAAAATTTAATGAGGTATTTCACATTCCTTTCTATTGTACTAATCATTTGAAATCTAGTGTGTATTTTACTTTTAGAGCAGATCTCAGTTTGGACTAGCTACATTTCTAACACTCAGGTACCCTAAGTGGGTGGTCATTCAACAGTGTGGTGCTCATACTTTTTTCAGTGAGAGACCATGAGCAGGAGTGGCAGAGGGAGAGGAAGAGAGAATCTTAAGCAGACTCTGCACTCAGTGTAGAGCCTGACATGGGGCTTGATCTCAGGACCCTGAGATCTTACCTGAGCTGATACCAAGAGTCAGGGGCTTACCCACCTTGTGCCTTGTGCCATCCACGTGCCCCCCAGAGCACCACATTCTTAATTGTTATGCTGTTTAGACAAGACTTCATGAAAAAAAGCTTAATTTCCACTTAATTTGTTTTAATGAAGACTTCTTTGAAAGTACAGAATATATCAAATTATTCTGGCTCTTTGGGGTTTTATTTTGCATGGGTAGTCAGCACAGGAAAACCATTAAGTACAAGCTGACATCTGTTGTCCTCCTTTGGGGTTTCCTGACTTTTTCCTTTTCTCTTTCTTTCTTTCTTTCTTTCTTTCTTTCTTCTTTCTTTCTTTCTTTCTTTCTTTCTTTCTTTCTTTTTTATTGTATTCCAGAGTTTATTCAGTTATTACCCTTTGCCATCCATATGTATTTTCCTCATTTCCACTACTTGCCTGTAAGAAGCTGTTCAAACAATATCTTTATCATATTTTAAAATTCATTTATTTCCAAGAAGTTACTAATTACCCTGCTTATTTCATACCCTTAAAAATATGAACTATACTACCAGGGAAGTTAGAAAAATATTTTCAAGCAAAAGCATATTTGCTTTTGGTCCAAAAAAATTCTCATCTGTTAGCCTAGGAGATATAATTTGCAATGAGAAATCATTAGTTTACATTTTCAGGGACTGTCATTCAGCCATATGGCTTTAAGTGAATGCATTTTCTGCATGTTAGATTGCACTGCTGGACTGTCACATGTTTTTAATGAGATAAAAGAACCATTAAAATATTTTGTATGTTCATTTCCAGTGAAGTCCTTGGAAACATTTTATGTAAACAATTGACAGATATTTTAAAATGTTTCCCTTTACTTAAAATTAACAACAAAATTTTTATCAAATACAATTGTTCACAGGATCAGTTAAAAATATTCTATTTATTACTATATTTGTAATCTACTATCTTCCAAAAGGATGGAATACCAATACATGTATAAGTGAATGAGTAAATTTTTCCATAAAAAGATAATATACTATATATATTGAATCACTTCATGGTATAAAAGGCAAAAGGCATATAATAAAATGAGAAAAGACGAAATTCTCTTCACTGCACTCCAAATGAGGAAAGCTAAGGAAAGTGATTTCTGAATGTTGTCTTGAGATCCCTAGCAACCAAGAGAATAGTTGTGTTGTTGTAAAGGATATTGGATAACCTCATATAATTGTGAATGACTTTTCATTCTTCCTCATTAGGAAATGATGTATGTCTGGAACGGTTTTCCAGTAGTGAGCAAGAGAAAAGACCTTTCTGAAAATCTGTTGGTCACTGTTGAAAAGGCTGAGGTTGCTTTACAAAATGAAAGTAAGTATGAAAATAAAAGCCTGGAAATATTTTTTTATTACCATTCTCCTGCCCTTTCCCTGTGCACATCAGCCCATGTTCATTTGTACACATCATAAGGACAAAATAATTGGGCTTCAAGGGTCTGGATGATTGTAGTCAGAGGAGTGACATTTGGGGCAATATGGACTAGCCTTGGGGCCACGAGGCTAAGTGAAAGATGCCAGTTGCAGATGACAGCATATTGTATGATTCCATTTATGTGAAATATTTGGAACAGGTACATCTATAAAGAGAGTAGGCTAGTGATGACCTAGGGATAGAGAACTGGGGTATGTGTGTGACGCCTTTTAAAGGGCATGGCATTTCTTTTTGGAGTGATGAAAATGTTCTAAGACCATAGTATTGGTTGTACAACAGTAAATTGTGTGCTTCAAATGGGTGAATTGTATGGTATGTGAATTATACCCAAATAAGTGTTACCGAAAAAAATGAACAATCAGAGTTCTAGGGTGCATTTCTGGTTTTTAGGTTGTGACTCTTTCCATGCCTTCTTTTGCTCTGTAATGACTATTATGTTTTTGCAGACACAGGAGATTGTTTTCAAGTTGAAATTTTGTTACAATTGAATTTTTTTTAGTAATTACTGCTGATTGTACTGGAGGCCCCTCTCCAGTTTCCTGGAAGCTCCATTTCCTGGAAGCATCTGGCATAGTAGAAGGAAAATCAGGCCATCTGGGCTTACCGTCCCAGCTCTAGCATGAAACTCTGGGAAATATACCTTATAATTCTGGGCCTCGAGTTTCTTTTAAAATGGGGTGATGATATCGAAAGATACACAGATATTATCCAAAGATTTCTTTCTCTGACATTGTCTAATTCTCTATCTTAAACAGAAGATTTATCTTTTGAGAAATGATGCCATAAATGATAGCCTTTTGTAGTATTCCTTACCAACCTCCCCAACCATTTATCTTTTGGAATGTTCTAACCACAGAAGTAAAATGAAAACTTCTATGGTAACAAACATGGCAAAAAGCATAGAAATTCAGGAAGAGGCTGGAAAAATTATAAGTTAATTCATATTTCTTAACTGGAAAATTATGAGCACTGACAGAGTGGCTAGCCTCATATTCAATATATTCTCCACATGGGAAATTAAATATTGAACATAGCTCCAGGAATGAGGACCTCATTTGTTTCATTTTTGTATTTGGAGCTATAAAATGAGGATGAAATGCTAAATGAGATTTTTGTTTATAATTATTGTTAAAAAATTAAACACAATTATGATTGATAGATGTAGGTGAAAAAAGTTACCCATATTTTTGCTATTATAACAATTTCAGAATTTTTATTTGTTCCATCATAGCTTTATTTTTATAGTTATAATCAGAGTATACCTGGGCATATATTAGCCTACTTTTTTTTCACTTAATATATCATACTTTTTAAAAGTGAAGTGTGGCATGTAACATTATATTTAATTGAACTGTAATTGTCATATAACATTATATTAGTTTCATGTGTATACCATAATGATTCGATATTTGTGGACTCTGTAATAATCACCACAATAAGTCTAGTTAACATTTGTTACCATACATAATTACAAAAATTTTTTTATTGTGTTGAAAACTTTTAAGATCTGCTTTCTTTCAACTTTCAAATATGCAGTACAGTATTAACTGTATCCACCATACTACATTATATCCCCATGATTTACTTATTTTATAATGGGAAGTTTATACTTTTGACTCTCTTTACCCATTTCTCCTACCTCCCATGCCCTACTCCTGGCAACCACCAATTCATGAGCTTGGTTTTTTTTTGTTTGGTTTTGTTTGTTTTAGATTCCACATATAAGTGAGATCATATGGTATTTGTCTTTGTATGTCTGACTTATTTCACTACTAGCATAATGCTCTCAAGGTCAATCCATGTTGTTGGAAAATGGCAAGATTTTATTTTTTATGGCTGAATAAATAGTCTGTGGTATGTCTATATTACATCATCTTTATCCATTCATCCATTTGTGGCTTCCATATCTTGGCTATTGTAAATAATGTTGTGATGAACATGAGGGTGCAGATACCTTTTCAAGTTGGTGTTTTCATTTCCTTTGGATAAATACCCAGAAGTAGAATTGCTAGATCATATGGTAGTTCTATTTTTATCCTAGCCTTTTAAGTTGTTGTTAAATGGCTCCTATAATAATTTCAAAAGCTTCCTAGTACTCCATGGAGCTAATGTATCATAATTTAGTCAACTCTTTTAGTATTGTTGGGCATTTAGGCTGCTTTCCATATTTGAAATAATTCTAGCTTCAGATTCACCCCCAATAAGGAAAAGAAATATAAAAGAATGAAAGTAAATCAATTGCCTTATTTGCTAATAAGGTCAAAGTTTCAGGCAGGATAGCAGAAGAAGCCAATAGAACAAAAAGCAATGATGTTCCGAGGCCACAGACTGGTACCCCCTACCCCAGTTCTCCCAAATAATCATTCTGCAAGTTAAACCGATAATCACAGGAAGAAATATAAACTGGTAATCACAGGAAGATCAGGTAAATGGGATATTCTATTTTACTATTGAAAAAAAGGTACCTGTAAAGATCATCGATTGATGGAGAGTGAGTTAATGTCACTCTCTCATGTCAAAGGCAGCATTTTTATAAAAGAATCATGGTTCCCTTTCTCTCCTTATTCCTGCCGATTACAGAAAAGTTTTAAACTTCAGCCCTTTATGAGTTGGAACTTAGGTAGAGTAGCCAAGATATTGAGTTATTTATCTTCATGGACTCTCTGCTTTCTGGGCACCAGGGAAGCAAGTGGATAAAAAGGCTCAATAAACTGTAATCCAAAAGAGAAATCCAAAGTTTTTACTATTTAACAGAGAACCGTTGGAGTGTATGTATAAGTACAGACTTACAGACTCACTATATGGACATTTTAGACTTTCTTTGTATGTCCTAGATGTTCCGTTATTGTTACATTGTCTGCATAGTTTTTCTATGTATAGAGTTGTATTAAGCTTCTTTAATATTCTTTTTACAATTTTATCTTTTTAATTTTTAAAAGTTTTTGTATTGTATTTTTATTTTTTTAAAAGATTTTATTTATTTATTCATGAGAGACACAGGAGAGAGAAGCAGAGACATAGGCAGAGGCAGAAGCAGGCTCCATGCAGGAGGCCCAATGTGGGACTCCATCCTGGGATCTAGGATCACGCCTTGAGCTGAAGGTAGACTCTTAACCATTGAGCCACCCAGATGCCCCTATTTTTATTTTTTTAAGTAGGCTCCATGCCTAGCGTGGAGCCCAGTATGGGGCTTGAGCTCACGACCCTGAGATCAAGAACTGAGCTGAGATCAAGAATCAGACGCTTAACCAACTGAGCCACCCTGGTGCTTCTTTTTAATTTTTAATTGTAGTAAAAACTATATATAACACATTTATCCTGTGACCCAGTTTTGACTGTACAGTTCAGTAATGTTAAGTATATTCCCATAATTGTGCAACCAGTCTCCAGAACTTCTCCATACCCATTGAAAATAGCTCTCTATTTCCCTCTCCCCACTGCCTCTGGCAATCACAGTTCTACTTTTTGTTACTATGAATTTGACTCCTTTAGATTGCTCATATGAGTGGAATCCTACATTATTTGTCCTTTTGGGACTGGCTTAATTCACTTCGCATAATGGCCATGGGGTATATCCATGTTGTAGCATGTGTGAGAATTTTCCCCTTTTTAAGCATAATATTCCATTGAATGTATATATCACTTTGTTGATAGAAAACTTTGTTTTTCCATTTACCCACTGTTGCACATTTGAGTTGCTTCTACTTTTTGGCTATTGCAAATAATACTAATATGAACATGGGTATGTAAATATTTTTTGAAATCGCTTTCAGTTCTTACATGCTCAGAAATAGAATTCCTGGATAATGTATCATTTCTTTTTTGAATTTTTTGAGGAATTACCACAGTGTTTTCTGTAGTGGCTGCACCAGTTTACATTCTCTCCAGCAGCACACAAGCTTCTAATTTCTCTATATCCTCACCAATATTTGTAATATCCTGGGGTTTTGTTGTTGTTCTTTGGTAGTAGTCATCTTAATGGATATGAGATGATCTTTACTATTTTCAGCATGAAGTAATTTCAAAAAGGAAAAAGATTTCAGTTTGATTTGCATGTAAAGTCAGCATAAAGTCACATCATTTTGAAATTTAGATGAAATGAAACTCCATGAAAGTTCACCTGAAAAAATGAGATTTCACAAAATGCACCTTGTAAGATCCATTTGGGTTTTTAAACAAATTTTAGTATTCATTTTTGTTCAACTAATTTGGCTACATTTTATTAACTTGCTCATTTGAACATTCTTAGATTTTCTATACTAGATATAGAATTGTGATAGACTGAGAAAACATTTTTCCTGCCAGTAGGGGAATTATCTATAATTAAAACCCACGTATCCACAAACCTAATGGGAAAATGGATATGTTTTTAATAAATGGATATGTTAAAACTGGGAGGTGAAGGAAAAACTCTTTTTATTAAATAAAAACATATGTAGAGTATTTTTCCCCCCAGAAAAGTGGACCAGCTTGTTTCTTGTTTTCCTACAGATGTAAGGACTTTGGTTCAGTTGAATAAATTCTGCAGTTTGAATGTCTATCCTTTGTACTATAGACTAATATTTACCACCAGAGAGTGGGGCCTTTGTATATTAAGAAGTCCTGAGGGACCTCTGGGTTTTTCTCTATTTGAGCAGGCTCTTCAGCCTTTACCTCAAAGTTTATTTTGTCCCATTATTGGTTGGGGGAAAAATGTAAAGGAGTATTACATGTATCAGATTAAGTATATACAATGCAATAGAGGTTTAGAAAACCAGACTACTCTCTCTATTCCTTCCTTCCTTCCTATTTTACTTAAAACATTTATTATTTATTTATTATTATTTATTTATTTATTTATTTATTTATTTTGAAAGAGAGACTGAAAGAGAGAGAAAACAGGAGCAGAGGGAAAGGGAAAAGCAGACTCTCTGCTGAGCAGGGCGCCCAATGTGGGGCTCGATTCCAGGACCCTGAGACTATGACCTGAGCTGAAAGCAGATGCTTAACTGATTGAGCCTCCCAGGAAATGTAGCCAAATTCCCAGGAAGCCCAATTCCTTCCTCTTTTAATGATCTGTTGAAATGATAGACTTAGAGATATTCAAGGAGGACTGGGGAAAGCTCAGACAGGCAGATGCACTGTACTTTGTACATTTCTAGTTTTGTATGCATTCCCTCTGGGTTTAAAAAACAAGTTTTCCTTCCTGAAGATTTTGTACATGAAATTTATGATAAAGGATCTTCTAAGTCCATTGTGTTATACAGGAAAATTACCAGATTTCCCTCTCTGCTCCCTCCATCCCTCTCAGTAATGACCTTTTAGTATTTTAGCTCTTATTTCAGAGCAACGGGGGAAAAATCCAAAATCTGAAAAAGTGAAATGAAGTTGTAAACCCAACGTGGCTTCAACCTTCACCCCCTTTCTCCCCAGTCTTGGGAAATTGAGTTTTTGCTTCTTCTCCCCTTGGCAAATGTCTCTAAAGTAAAAGACGATAGAAGATCCAGTTGGTATTCTACTCTGACAATGTGGTTATGAAAGGCCGGTTATGGATACAAAGGGAAAGATAGTTTAATAAGAAAAGAACACTTAGTGTAATATGCCTGGAGTCAGTGTCTTCCACTAATTCCATTAATGTTCTGCTTGAAATCTAACTAAATTCAACATGTAGCCAAAAGTCAGTACAGTAGTTCTTCTCTGATTCTTTGTTGCAGTTAATTTGCTTTGTGAAATAATAAAGCAAACACAATCAGGGTTACATAAAAGGGAAAATGCTACTTTATGGCTTTTCATTTTCTAAACCTGTTTTTGAATTTTTCCTTTGGTACATTTCGGCTAGTTTCTAAAAAGTTCACTGTGGGTATTTTTGTAGTTTGGGCTTCAAACTTTCTTTTTCATCAGCCTACCCTCTGTTTTATTAAGTTAAGCTGATCTTTTATGATGAAAATGTGCTTTGGCGGCATTACTGTATAATTTTCTTGGAATGGAAAATGGAAATTGTGTGTTGAAATGCGCATCTGTGAACTCACCCATGAGGTTGAGAACCATGATAAAGCACTCAGATTTTAAGGGAAAATAATCATCTGACAGAGAATACTCTGCGGTCAGAGGAAATAATGGTTTTGCTAAGGTTTGGAGGAAGGTGGTATCTTTGGGGCCAATTTTCCACATCCTTAACTCATGATCCAAATAAACACTAAGTGCGGCTTTACTGGTACTTTAATTTTCCATAATGCTGTGTCTGTTCCTCAGTAAAACCATCATTCACTGAGCACCAGAAGTTTATGGTAAGACAAACCTTCATAAAATGCTAATACAGAACTCATTAGAATGCACACAAATGATACTAAAACCAGCATCCAGGATGGACCCTCAGGGTTTGATTCTAGGCCTGGAAAGATGCTGCTCTTGTGTATATATGTGTGTATATATAGGGTGTGTATATATATACATATACACACATATATACATTGCAGCGAATATCCATGATTAGAAGCATAGATATATTTGTGTGTGTGGGGGCCACGGTATTGAAAAATGGTCCTTAAGTAATAGGAAACATAACAAGATGTTGATATCTGTGATTTTTCTTGGTGAATGAACCATCAGAGCTCAGACGTGAGAGGTGAATATCAGCTGTGTTCAGCACCTAGAAATAAAGTGATTCCCTTCCAGTTGGTTAAGTAGCATCATTAACCTCCCATAAACAAGCAATGTACTAACCAAAACCCCAGCATGTGTTAATGGTAATTTCTGAGGTTTGTACTGAAAGCCAGGGGGATCTCAATATGAGGACTCCCAGGCCTCATTGGTTTGGTTTACTCCCCTGCACCCCTTGTATGTCACAGCCTGAATTGTTTAAATTATCAGTCTGTCTTGGGAATGACTTTGTTGCAGTAACTTGCACGAGCTCCCAAATTCAAGAGTGATAGATGTGAAATGGCTACCTTTGTCAGGTTGCTGTCATACATAATATGGTTCCTTTCGTTTAATATTCTATAGCTTTGGGCTGGAGAAGGCAGAGTCATTTTTGAAAGGGAAAACATGGTAAAAGAAAAAGCTTTACATTGGTCTCAAGCACTTGCAAGTTTGCGAGGGTTTTAGGTACCTTGCATGTACTTCAGAACCATTTTGTCTAATTTTATGAAAGAATTTACCCCCAAAAGAACATAACCTGGGAGAATTGATAGGTTGTAAACAGAATGATCTGGAAAGGGTATCCTACTTCCTGAATTTTTAATGGGTAGGAAGCCATCTGCTTCTCCATATGGAAGTGTTATCCTCTCCTGCATGAAACCAGCACAGTTAGATGCCAGAACCACAGGAAGAGGAGGCAGCCTTCTTGCTTCTCCCTGCTTTACCTTTTATAGAATTAATAAAGCTCTCCCTTTTCTCAGAGTTTAGATTTCCTCTTGTTATATCTAAGGTCACGTAACTCCGAGAACGAGCACCTGAAGAGTTTTAAGTGGAGAGAGTTGAACTCTTTTAATAAAATGGTGTAGAAGTGTGGTAACTCATTCTTCTTTTAATTTAAAATACTTTCATTGTGTTTTATTAAGTAAGGCTTAACAAATGCTAGAAATATTCTCTTTATTTTTCAGTGATCCCTCTGAAACCTAAATAGCTATTAGTTCTCCCTCTCCCTTGGGATTTTTCAAAGTGTTTTTCCTTTTGTGTGTGCTTTCTGTTTGTTTGGTTTTAAGACATAAGTGACTACTCTGTGGATGATGAGTGCTTGGTGAAGCTGCTGAAGGGATGCTGTCTGAAGAACCTGCAGCGGCCCTTGCAAGCCGAACTCTGCTTCAATCACGTCATCCAAAGGTACCGACCAGCAAGGAAGCCCGGCTGAGTGCAGGAACTTCCCAGGGAGTTACTGTGAGAAAGTCATGTGTTCTCTCTCGCTGTTAGTGTTTGACATTACCAGGAAGAGAATCCAGTAATGCTCTCTTTGTCCTTTGAGAGCAAATTTGTAGCCTCGGTAGAACATGGCTTTATGCATTTGCACTTGGTGTTTAAGGGGAACACTGAATTCCATGAAAACTAAACACTGTTTTCTTTCTTCTTCTTTTTTTTTTTAGATATTTATTTATTTATAAGAGACACAGAGAGAGGCAGAGACATAGGCAGAGGGAGAAGCAGGCTCCCGTGGGGAACCTGATGTGGGACTTGATCCCAGGACCCTGAGATTATGACCTGAGCCAAAAGCAGATGCTCAACCACTGAGCCACCCAGGCATCCCTAAACACTATTTTCACCCTAAACACAGGTGTCCTTATAAGAGGAAAGATACCATGTCTATTTCCCAAATTAATACCACCCTTTTTTAGTAAAAGAAGTATATATTGAGTTCAGTTTTACTGGTGTTTCTAGAAGGATCAAAAGTATGATCCATTTGTGCTATGCTGTTATGTTTATCGAATCTACAGTGAATTATTTGCTCATGTGTTCTGTAATTTTGGATCGTGAGCTCCCCTTCAATAGGTTTTATCTTGAGACACTTTTGAGGCTAGGACTGAAGACTCTCTAAAGTGATTTTTGCTTTTATTTCTGCCAGGTGCCCCCAAAGCTTTTTCAGCCCAGGCTTACTTTCATATTAATGTCATTGCTTAGAGGTCTTTGGGTCATTTGGGCCATATAAATATGAACTGCCAATTCATTTGAGGACAGGCCAATTGGTTATTAATTTCCCAAGGAATACATTTTCCCCCTTCTAACCTGGAGTGCAGGCTGAGGAGCCAACTGCCTTTGTAGTCCTCCTATGCGGGAGTGGGTTTTTCCAATCCACCCTTTCTCTGTTGGAGAATGGCCCCCAGCTTTATATAGAGGTCCCAGTCTCTGCTCATATGTGGACTCAAGGCTTCATAAGCATGGACATTGAGATTCAAAGCCCTGGTTGATTAAGGCCAAAGCAGATCCCAGGACTGCTTTGACATCATCCATATACTTAGAGTTCTGGCTTTGTTTTATTTTCAGTTTGAGAATTTTTGTTATGTTCTTGTGATCTGAGCTATGCATTTGGAAGGCATTACTTTACAAATATCTTTGATTGGGCAGCCCGGGTGGCTCAGCGGTTTAGCGCCACCTTCAGCCAAGGGCCTGATCCTGGAGACCTGGGATCAAGTCCCACGTCGGGCTCCCTGGATGAAGCCTGCTTCTCCCTCTGCCTATGTCTTTGGCCCTCTCTCTCATGAATAAATAAATAAAATCTTAAAAAAAAAGATTATCTAATTTAAACAAAAAACAAATATCTTTGCTTCTTGATATTTTATGGTTAGACTTCATAATATTGCTGAAAACAGAAATGTTAATCACTTCCTTATTGACTTTTTTTTTTAGCCTTATGAGACTTAACAATATAAAGTAATAGTGTTCTTATTTCTAAATGGAGTCATTTCATGAACACAGTCATTTTTTAGGAGGATGACCTTGTCCTTTCCAGTATTAATCTTTGAAGATCTGCACGCATTCATCTTCCTAAGAGGTGTAAACAATGCTCAGTGCTGAGTTTAGATTAAGGAATAAAACAGAAGATAAATTATTCAAAACATGCTATTTATTGCCATAGCTTATTAGATTCCTTGACTATAATGACAGTTCTCTCTGATAATAGGCTTAGTGCTGTACCTGTTTCCTGAGGAATGAGGAAAGTGTATTGTTGAAAAAGAATGATTTGTTTATTGTTCTGTTAAAACTTAGTCACTTTTTATTAACTCTTTCAGTGAAAAGCTACTGAAGTATGACCACTACCTGGTACCATTTACCCTGTTTGAATTGGCCTTTTTATACAAAAGCCAAGGGGAAATTGATAAGGCCATAAAGACCCTAGAAACTGCAAGGTGAGTGACAATGGCAGCTTTTCCTGCTTGCTATGAAGTCAAGGAACTTTGATACCATATAACCACAGCATTAATATTATATACTTAGAAGTTAAAACATTATTGAAAAACGAGGAATAATGTTATGCTCATGACTCTTGCTATAGTTGTGCTATTTCCAAGCTTTTCAATGCCTGACCCTGTGACTGTGTACAAATGTTGTGATTATAGGCATCTCTATGACAGATTTCTAACCTATTCTCTTCTGTATTGGGATTGGCAAATGTTTTCTGTAAATGGCCAGGTAGTAAGTATTTTTGGTTTTACAGTATAAGGTCTCATTGCAACTTCTAATTGTGTTGAAAGCAGCCATAGAAAACACGTTAATAAATGAGTGTATCTGGATTTGGCCAATATTTTGGTCATAATTTGCTGACCCCCTGGTGTATTCATTGCCTTGAAGAGCCACTGATTGGAAGAAGCCCTCTGTATCTTTCCCTGGCTCTCTTTTCTTTCTGTCCACTGTCGTAATTTCAGAACATTTTCATTTCTACTAGGCAATGGCTATCAGACTTGTGATCACAGCTCACTTAAACGCTGTGATCTATTTGCCTTGAGTACTTCTTACAGTGGAGAAAGAATGACATAATGGCTTTAAGCCTAGTGATTCATTGGTTTGTTCATTTATTCAAATTCAGTGAGTATGCATTGAGCACTTATTATGTGCCAGACACTATTAAGGCTCCAGACAGACATCTATATATAAACAGCCAACATTTCCCCTTGTTTAATTCAAGGGAGATGTTAAATAAACAAACAAATAGGAAAACCAGCAATGGTATACGCTTTCCTGAGATTTATATAATCTGATAAGAGTCCCTGGGTATTACCTTAAAATGGGTTGAATCTGGAAAGATGCCTTGAGGAGATGATCTTGTAGTTGAGATTTGCATATTTAAAATCAGTCTTGGGAAGATCAATCACAGAAGACTGGGTGGGGAGCATTCCTGGCTGAAGCCACAGCTGTGAATCTTCTAAACTGGGAGGTTGAGCCTCTAGGTGGTAAATGATGCTCTTTACTGAAATGGGGTATGCTTAGAAGAGTAGGCTCCAGGAAAGGAGAAAAAAAAATACTTATGTTTAGCACCATGGGATTTTGAGGTGCTTATTAGTTGTCCATGTGGAGATGATGGATTGGCAGTCAAATATATAAGCACAGAGTTCAGTGGAAACATCAAGGCTGAATGTGGACATTTCAAAGTCACCTGCACAGAGACAGTGATATTTTAAAACCATGATACTTGATGAAATCATTCTGGGAAAATAATATAGCTACAGAAAAGGTCCAGTACAGAGCCTTGGGATATCCCACCATTTTAGAAATGAAACCATAAGATTAAGAAGAAGTGGCCAGTGAGTTAGGAAGACACCCAGGAAAGCCAAGTGAACAAAGTGTTTCAAAGAGAAGAGAGCGGTCATTTGTGACAATGACTGCTGAGAGGTCAGGCAAGGTGAGCCCAGAGAAGTGGCTGCTCAACTTGACAGCATGACTATCATCAATGACTTTGACCAGTGAGGGGAGGCGATGGAGTCAGCTACTTTAGGTAACTTTTCAGGATGTTTTACTGTGAATAAAGCAATAGTAACAGGAAGGAAGCTTCCTGAAGCTGCTTCATGGAGCCGAGAAAGGTGGCTGCTGCCGCTGCTTATTTTTTTTAAGGGTAATATCAGAGTGAGTCACTTTTAAAGCTAATTTGTTGAAAGTGAGAATGACTCATATTTCAACTGACATATATGTACCTTCAAATCTAGCTATTGGAAAATTAGGAACAATTGTTAACTGTTGTTGGAAGTATTCATTATTTGGACCTACTTGGTGTTACCTAAGCAGTGCACAGTAAGACAAATTTATAATGATGAAAACAAAAGACTGGCAATTCACTACTAGAAAGGAAGACCATCAGTGATCACAAGTCACCACTAACTCAAGCCAGTGCTAATGAAGCCACCTTAAACAGACTTCCCAGTAATTTCAAAACTTTCAGTTGTCTGTACTTTCCCTTTTGCAATTGGAGATTCACAAAGTTGCTAAAATTAGTGGCCAGACATTTAGGAAAGTGTTCAGTTACATCTTGTGAATAATAACCCTTATCCAGGTTATCAGTGAGCAGCTCTTAGAAAATGAAGAGCTATAACAAGAAGGCTTTGCTACTGCAAAGAAAGGGGTTACAGGTCATCCACGGGCCAAGGCAGCGTATGAAAGCAGGAGCCCAAAGTCAAAAGCCATACTCTTCTGCTGATTCTTAACAATTGTAGCAGACAGAAGCGAACTTGGATGATCCAAGTAAAGTTTTTAATTAATCCATGGATTTCTGTGGCCCCTTCTGACATTGTCACACAATAATTATTGGCCAAACCATTGCTAATTTGCCTGTGAGAATTGGAGTAAGTAACTTTGATGTCACCACATAATCCTTTTCTTTGTTGTAGTTGTTGCATGAGAGTTTCAGAATGATTTCTTTGCAGGAGGGATGGTGATTGATCATGTTAATGTGAGTCTGCCTTAAAATTCTTGGTTTAGAAAAGGAGGTCAACTATTTAGGAATAGTTCACAGAATTTGTTAAACCCTCTTCATAAGCTTCTTTCTGTTTGAGTGGTTTGGTCATTAAATAAAAAGTTGCTACTCAAAGTATGACTTTCAAATCACCACCAGGAAGCTTCTAGAAATACAGAATATTGCCACCCTCCTTTCGTCACAGGATCGGAATCTACATTTTAACAAATCTGCTGTTAATGCTTATTCACGTTGGAAGCAAATAAGGAATAAAGATGAGAAGAAGGGGAGGTGGTAGTATTACCCTAGGATACAAAACAATTTTGACATTACAATTTTATTATTATTATCTTTAGAAACAACTACAAAGATTACTCCATGGAGTCCAGACTACACTTCCGAATTCAGGCAGCTCTTCACCTCTGGAAAAAAACTTCCTCCGATTGATCAGAACGTGAAGGATGGAGTTTTGCCTCAGTTAGCAATGGCATCTGCTATAGATTAGACCTTGTATTAAAGTGGAAAATGATCTTTTGAACGAGAGACAAAAAATTAATTTTATTGTCAATATTTTCTATTATCTGTGTGGTTTACTGTTGGTCTGCGTAAATGTGTTTTTTTTTTCATATGAAATGATGTTCAATGTTCAGTACTATCTAGAAAATTCTTATATTTTGCCTCTCCAAAAATAATTTCATATTAGATTTGGAGAATGAAGAAGTATTTTAAAGGACTCACAGGTACAATAAAGTCTGATTAGATTATTTATTTTTTTAATGTGGAAATCAATGTTTAAGTAGCAAATGGCTTATAAGTTGGGCCATTTTTAGATTTGGCTAGTATTTGAATTTAATTAAGAGGGAAAATAAAAATCACCTACATTCAAAACAGATTAACAATAACCTGAAGTCTCCTGAATAAGACAGGTAGTGCGTGTGAATAGGGACAGGATAATGTCCTTAATGGGTTGAAGGGAACTTTATCCAGAAAAGATGATGAAATACTAGGTTTTGGGTTCTTTTTTTTTATTCTTCACGTAATTTAAAGATGGTAACATTTTTGAGTGACTATTCTTTTTTTGAATGTACTTAAGTCTATTATAATAACAAACTTCAAAAAAGTATCTAAAGGGAAGAAAAAGTCATATTTTAGAAATTATCCTCAACCTTAGCAATGAAACTCTAAAATGCAAATGTTGATTATTTTTTTCTATAGAAAACAAAGTTCCTGCTGCTTTAAATGATAATGTAAAATATCAATAATTTTTATACTCATGATGCTGGTGAGATCTAGTTTTCTAATCTGTCTAGCACTGTGATAGTTCCTTCTAAATATCCGGGCTGTGCTTAGTCCTTTATCGGGGAAACACAATCAGGGCCAAATGTGGAAGCAAGCCTTGTTCTGTTACTGCTTAGCAGCTGCCGGGGTAACCTTGAGGGAGATCTCTGTTCTCTGCATCAGCATATTTTCATCATCTGTGAAATGGAAAAAAGAACAGATGACTTTTCAAGGTCTCTTTCAGTTTTATAACTGTGAGTCTGTGTAATAGGTATTTTCAGCAGTGTCAAACTGTTTAACGCAAACTATCACCACAAAGTGCGTGTCTTATTTTATAATTGTCTCTGCCTTCCCCTACTCCCCCCATTTGTACATTGTTGGGGCTAATGGCAGGATTGCATCCAGGGTGAAGAGAAACCATTCATGGGTCCATAAATCAGGGCTTGGTCCCATTTCTATTCTATTTTGAAGAGTAACCTATCATGGAAACCTCTGCCGCTGAACAGAATAGCCTCAGATTGGAGTCTGGAGCTCACCTCTGGTAGTCAATAATAATTCCTTGATGTGGAATAAGTCATTCGTTCTTTCTGTGACTCTGTTTCCCCAGTGGGGATGGTGACATACTGCTTGGTGCTTGTGATGGCTCAGTTAGACAATGCACAGATAGCTTTTTGTAAACTGCGAAAGGCTATGTGAATCTATGAGTTGCTGTAATAATTAGGGTTTTTATGCACTGATTACAATATCAACACAAAAATTTTGGCTGAGTGTGTGGTCTCTGATGTGAAATGAAAGAAGTGCAGAAATTCAAACACTTTTAAATTTATTTTTGTGTTTGGCACTGACAATAACCCAGATTATGAATTTGCTCCTTGCTGTTCATTCCCTACTACATGAGTCGGTACCCAGCAGGAATTTTGGTCTTGTTTTCTTTAAGGTACTAATTCTTGACCAATACTGAGGGTATGTTTCCAAAGGAAGATGATTAATACAACCTGAGTTAGAGAACTAGACCTTCAGACAGCATGGTGGGAGCTCTCACTATGTGCTATTAATATGAATTACGTAGCTTTATTTTAGGTCCAGACAAGAGGAAATAAAATGAACTGTTATTAAAATATCAGCAGTGAAATATGTGTTAGAACTATTTTGTATACAATTTGAGAAATAGTTTATGAATTCCTTAGAAGAGCTTTGGTAGCATTATTTTTTTAAAGTATAAACTCCCATATTGTTTTTGTGAGAAGCTGCAGGTCAGAGCAAAAGTCAGTAAAAACATATCTTTCTGGTGAAATTTGAAAACAATATAAGCTATGGTGGTTATTCTTATATTGTTTTAAATCTGCATTACCAAACAAATATAAAGGAAATTCCTATCATAAAGTTTTTCCTTTGTTATTTTTTTTATTTTGTTTTCATTTTTACCTCCTAATCTTTTTATAGTTACCTGGTAATTTGGATACTCTATCCATTGACTGTTTAATTGTTGTAATATCATTAATGCTACAAATAAGTATCTGTTTCCTGACCTGTTCATGATACCCCGGTTGCACCAGTTTCATATGGCACCAGCTAATATTGCATTTTTGGAATTACTTTGGATTCAGGCTGCTTTGTGAAGAATGAGTGTTGAAGTGACAATATTTTATCTAATGTTTTGAGGGGCATATGTGACGGGTTTGGACTGCCAATGTGTCTGACAGTTTGTGCAATTTGTGTAGTTTTTGGTATAATTTTCTTTTCTTTCATTCTTTTTTTTTTTAAATGGAGAGCCAGGGTTCTGATTAGTGCTGTATAAATTTAAGACTCAAGTAGAGGTTATGCTTTGTAGGATCTGTAACAAGAAAGGCACTATTTCTGCTTGATAATTAATGGAAGAATAACTACATTGACTCTTACATGGATGTATATTTTAATGTTTTTGTGCCTCTCCTGGATGCAAGAAGGCCTCAAGACAAAGGAAGCTCATTGATTCTGTTTCATCTATAAGTGGGTAGAAGCTGTAGGGAGGTGAGTTTCAAATTAATCTGCGACAAGGAAGATTTTTAATCATTGAAGCAATCTAACATAACTTCCTCTTTGGCAAAGTAGGCAAGTTAGCAGAACTATGTGATGTCATTCTTACCTGGCCTGGGAACTTACAGTTGAACTTTGAGGTCACTCTATGGGTCTTTGATAAGAGCTTCAATTTTAGTATCTGTACTACTGAAGCAAGCACTGAAAAGGGGTTCAACTCAGTGGATGTGTATAAAGAAGGTTTCCCCGCTTTCAAAGATAAGTGAGTATTTCTTCTTTTGAAGCTACTGTAGACGTAGTTACATTATGATAGGCACTAATAGTCCCTTTGGCCATTATGAATCTACTTCTCATCCTTCTTTTAAAATGAATCTATTGATTCTTTGTCTATTGATATTTTCTGGTTAAAGTTTTTCTTCCTTTAAACACTGAAAATAATAATTGAAAAGGTCTTTGTGACTAACTGGAAAAATTTCTGGCATTACTCTAATTCTTTGTTGATTTTCCTTTTTACATATTTCTGTTTTTCTTCTATTCTCTCTATCTTTATAAATCATAAATTCAAATGCATTTAGTTAAAATGAGTTAGTGAAAACTCTAGTGATTGTTTAGATGCCCTGAGATTATGTGATTCATCGGGCCTGGAATGGATCTTGGGAAATTATCTCCTCCCCCACCCATCTTGGCTCTGGATGGTGTTTCCTCTGCAGTCCTGCTCTGTCTGGTATGGTGGCCACTGGCCACATGGGACTATCGAGCACTTGAAACATGGCTAGTGGCCTGTGTTGGAATGATGCCGAGTGTCAGGAAGTGCTCACTTATACATGCTGCAGTTCTATTTAAAGTAAAGGTCCCCTGAAAGCATGTTTTCTAGAGTTCTGGCTTTTACTTACTGTCTACTATGATCATTCAATCACCATCGTTGCATTTTCAATTCTGGTTTAAATATGTATCTTTGAGGATTGCTTTTTCTGTTCAACTGCTCATAAACTTTCATTTCATCATTTTATTCTGCAGATGATCAAGGTCATCTTTGATTCTTCTCCACTCTCCCAGAGCTCCTTAAATACTAGACTGAGACCTTATTTTTAACATTTTTTAGTCTTATTTTATAGACATTCCTTGCTTTTCAGATGCAACAACACAAACTATTAGAGTTGTAGAGTGACTCACCTTGAGATGTTAGTAGATTTTATGATTAAAATAATATGTGTGTGTAATATATATATTATATATATATATATATATAAATATATATGTAGTTTCCATGCCCAACATGGGGCTTGAACTCATGACCTGAGATCAAGACCTGAGCTGAAATCAAGAGCCAGATGCTTAATTGATTGAGCCACCCAGGTGCCCCTAAAATAATATTTTCTAAGATTAACATTATTCTGAAGAATTGGCATCCAGTGTTGAAGCATTAATGTTTCAGCTCATGAAAATTTCAGTCCATTGACATGACTCAGCTATGCCTGTATGACTATTTAAGGAATATTAGGTACTGGTTACCCACTTATAGAATAATTTGGCAGATAGTTTATTTAAAGTTATATATTTTAAGCCTTTTGCTGCCTATTACTAATATTTCGAATGTGTATGATATACTTAAGTGATATGTCTTCATGTAATTGACATTTTTATTCTCTGTAGACATCTTTAGATCAGATAGGTAGTTAGATAAAAAACAGTTTATAAATATGAAGTAGACAATGTTTTATTTTGTTCTTTCAGAAAGAATGCAGATATTTCTCCAGATTGTCTCCCTTCCTGCAGACCAGTTATTTATATATTTTTCTTTACATATTAGATTGCTTGTTTGAAACCTTGTTCCTGCTTCCCATTGTTGATAGCTTTGTCTTTTTTATATCTGCTATTAGATTTAGTTGTTTCAGATTGTTGAAATTGAAATGTAAGGAAGGCCATATCAGAATTTATCATGGGGGAAAATACCTTCTCTGTGGAGCAATTCTTGTCTGATTTTGATGGCGTGGAAGTCCATTCCAATCTGCTTATGACTTGAAAATTGCAGAAAGAAATGATGCAAGACTGTTTAGTGGATTCAGAAGGCTGAGCAGGTTCTTGGCCTGATCCATCCCAAAGGGGTAGGTGGATCCAGCTTTGGTGGAAGTCCAACCCCCATTCTGTCCAGTTTATAAATGTATCAGCACATTAATGCTGTAACATGACCTTGCATGGAAAATTCAAAACCGCCCTCTCACTGTATTTAATAAAGAATGCATACTGATGCCTACAGATCAGGTATTTAATAGGAAATCTCAAGGTACTTTGAAGTATAATACTAAGCTTTATAAAGTAAATCTTGTATATTAATATACAATACACCTTGTGTGTTAATCCAATAGTTCTTAGAAATACAATTTAAATGATGAATATATGGGATGCTGGCATATCCCAGTGGGCACTTTTGTTTTATTGCTACTTAACATTTTCTAGTAAATTTGTTTTAATTATTGGTAGTCTGACATTATTTAGGAAAAAAAGTTGGTCTCAGTGTAACAGAACTGATAACCAGAGAAATTGGATCCAATAAATATGTTAAAGAATATTGCTTATCATTTCAGTTTTAAAGAAATTATGTTACTTTGAAATGCTGGAAGATCATCCTCAATTTGAAGGGATGACACTCCCTGCTTGGGAAATCATACAGACATTTTTTTTTCTTTTTTCTTTTTTTTTATAAATTAATTTTTATTGGTGTTCAATTTACCAACATACAGAATAACACCCAGTGCTCATCCCGTCAAGTGTCCCCCTCCGTGCCCGTCACCCATTCACCCCTACCCCCCGCCCTCCTCCCCTTCCACCACCCCTAGTTCATTTCCCAGAGTTAGAAGTCTTTATGTTCTCATACAGACATTTTAATTCATTCTTACCTTTATTGGAAATAAGTTTCCAGGTTAGTAAATGCGTTTAAACAATTTCCATTAATTACTTTACTTTTTACCTGAAATGATTTTATTCTTCATAGTAAACAGTTGCTTTATATGCAGTGATTTGTTTTTTTAAGGAAATGGTTTACACGAAAAGAGAGATTACAATAAACATTATAAATCTTGGGCTATTGGTTTAATGGCTGAAGAAAACAGTATGGTTGGGTACTTTGATTTGCAAAAGGAGAACACACATGTTCTACTGATATGTGCTATCCAGAAAAATTACTTCATTCTTAACCAGTATGTCACATTCTCATGTTGTCTAAAGGGAAAATTTTTAAGTAGCTTATTATTTATTATTTTTTCCCCATTGCTAACTGTTGACATCCAAACACCTGAATGAATACCAGTGGAGGCATTTATATGCTAGTGTTTTAAGTATTTATTTGCAAATATTCATAGAACTCTTGAATTTTTTGATGCAAGTTGCTAAATCAGATGTAAAGGTAAAATATATATTTAATAAGGGAGAAGTATTATTTTATTACTGAAATTTATTTCTAAAGCAAATTTATTTTGTAGGTATTTCACTTGGGAAATTTTGCTTTGCCTTAAAACACAAACAAAATAAACCTGTCTTGTGATCTGCTTACCTAAAAACCTTTAATGTTTCCTTGCCATGTAGGTGAATTTTGAAATTCTTCAAAAATGTATATTTTTCACTTTCATTTGGATGAAACAAAAATAGAGGTCATAGACTTTGTAAATCAGTGTGTGGTTTCCTGTGGAATGTACTTTATAATTCAATGTTTTATTAGTAAAAATTGCCAACATTTTATCTTCCCTCTTTCTCTTCTCATTACACTTGAATTTAGTTTCATATCTTTTCCATTCCCAGTGGTCACAGTTTTACAGAGCAAGACATTTTTAGAAATTTAAGATGTATGAGTTCTATGTAAGATGAATGTGTTAGTAGCATCCATCTGCTGATCAAATAGGCATTGGATCTGGTACCAGAAAGTGAAATAGATTATATCTATAAAAGCATTTTATCAATGTAAGTCAGAAAGAAGAAAACTGTGAACTTCTGATATTTTTAATATAAAAACTGTGTTCCCCATGAGTATTTGCTTGCTGATTTTGTGTTAATGTTATCACCTATGATTTGTAAGCTAATGCTGATATGACATCTACATTTTCAACATGAAGACAACAGTTCCTGTAGCATATTTTTAACATTTAAGACATTTTTGAAAACAGATGCCATCTTAGAAGTTGTATTTTTAAGTGCAAATAAAACATCCCATCTTGAAAGTCAACATGCTTTATTTTTCATTCCTCAGTATTACATTATTAGATGCCTGTTTAAGTTGCCAGGTATTCTTAGAACTCTGAATTCTAATATCGCTACAGCTCATTTACCTACAATGTGCAATTGAATTGTTAAAATGTTATTTAAGTAAATTCCACTTGATGAAATTACTCTTATTGTGGTTGGTCTACACTTAAAAGATGTACCCAACATCTCTTTTGCTGGTCTCTAACTCTAATGTGATGTGTACTTAAATTTTTGTTTCTTGGTAAGACTTTAAAACCTTTTCAGCAAAGGGAAAGGTCTCTTTGTGTCATGTTCTTGACTGAACACTAGGAATGAAGATAAATGGGATGACAAAGTTGTCTTGAGGGAGGATCACCTTCCTTTCATCTTTTTATAACCTAGTAGTTTAGAGATTTAGATAAGTTGCTAATATGTTCAGTTTAACGTGGAATCTTTAGCATTCAATATAACACAGTGGGAAAAAAATGGGCCTCGGGGAATCAGGAAGTCTGTATTTGAGGCTGGTCTTGGCAAGGTAGTGCCCTGGAATCCTCTTCCCCAGCAACTTCTCTGAACTTTGCATAAGTCCTCTGTTGAGTGGGGATAGTTTCAGTGCCTCATCAGCTGCAGGGAGGATCAAAAGAGGAGGTATATAAGAGCCACCAATGGGTAATCTAGCATAAAATGCTTTCTTCCACTCCCTTGGATGAGTTAGGTTAAGCTAACATCTGCCATAAAGCAGGTGTTCCTGCCAATGGGTGATTTCTCCTGTTGTGATGCAGCAACCCAAGTTCTTTGTCTTGTGGCTCTCCTGTCTTCAGTGCATGGCTGGTAAGGTCACACTGTCCTTTTGCATCAAGCTGCCAAAGGGGAAAAAGCATGGAGAGTTGTGTGAGGGAGGCGGTGCATATCATTTGTTCACAGTCCGTTGGCTAGAGCTCAGTCATCTTGCTTCACCTAATGACAAAAGAGACAGAGAAATGTAGTCTGTGAGCTCAGGGAAAAAAGAGGAAATGGGTGTGGGCAACAATTGGCTTGTCTCTGTTACATTCCCATTGGGGCTGGATCCATGGTGATTCTCCCAGTGTGACCTATGCTTTCACATTTGTCTTTTTTTTTTGTTCTTTGACATAAGGGGCTTGATAAATTGGGACTGCATTAGTTATAAATCTTTGGGTGGTAGTAAAATCAACCTGAACTAGTTTAAAAACAAAAACTGGAGGGCAGCCCCAGTGGCTCAGAGGTTTAGCGCCGCCTTCAGCCCGGGGCGTGATCCTGGAGACCTGGGATGGAGTCCCACGTCGGGCTTCCTGCATGGAGTCTGCTTCTCCCTCTGCCTGTGTCTCCGCCTCTCTCTCTCTCTCTCTCTCTCTGCCTCTCATGAATAAATAAAATATTAAAAAAAAAACTGGAGAAAGCAGTGGGAGTATTGCCCTTTTTAATCGTTCTCTGTGGCATCTGGCTTCACCTGCTGAAAGATGCTTTGTTTTCCATGATTTCTTTGTTCACATCTCAAGTGGTTATCAGGAAAATTGCCCTCCTTAGGAAATGAGCAACTTTCTCAGAACTTTTCCTGCTTCATGACGAGGCCAAATGATCATTCTGTCACGGAAAGTCCCATCTCTTTCAGGGCAGGTAGTTCTTTGGCAGTACAGTTCTCTAAAAAGTTTAGTCTATTTTTTGTCTATTTGATTCTGTATCATATAACCACACCACGGTATTTCTGAGACATCACTTTAATTCCCATGTCCAACCTCCTTTGACTTAATTGACTAAACAATATTGACTCGTCAGTATAACCTCTGGAATCCATTTCTGTATTAATCAAAATGGGCTAGGATATGCTTTAGTAACAACCTCCATATCTCAGTAGCTTAAAATAGCAATACTTCTAGCTCTTGTTATATATGCATGTTAGGTCAAGAGAACACCCTGTTCCACATTATGGAGGCCATTGGAACCTCCACCATCTGGAATGATATTCATCACCATGGCAAAGGAAAAGGAATTTGGCTCCCTAACGTTGTTTGTTTGTTTTAAATGCCTTATTGAGGTATAATTTAAATACCATCAAGTTTACTCCTTTTAAATATACAAGTCTTCATTTAGGGAATGCATAGTTTTGTGCAACCATAATCACAGTTGAGCTTCAGAACACTGCACTCACCTCAGAAAGTTGCCTCTTGCCCTATTTGATGTCAATCTCCACTCTGGACTCCCTGGCCCCAGGCAAACAATGACATTTTGTCTCTATAATCTTGCCTTTAATACAAAATTTATATAAGTGGAATTATACAATACATAGTCTGTGGTTTTAGGCTTTCACTTAATGTTTTTGACATACATCCATGTTGGATATATTTGTAGTTCATTTTTATTGTTGAATTATATTCCATTGTATGAAACATACCATATGTTGGGTTACCATTTACCAGCCGATGGACTTGGATTTTTCTAGGTTTGAGCTTTCATGAATGACACCATTGTGAACATTCACATTCATGTCTTTGTGTGGACATACGTTTTCATTTCTATTGGGTAGATAGATAACCAGGAGTGGAATTCCTGGGTCATAAATAAGTATATGTTTAACTTTTTAGAAAATTTCCTATCTTCCAAATGGGCAGTACCATTTTGCATTCCCATGAGCAATGTAGGCAGGCTCCCATTTCCATATCTTCCAATGCTTGGTATCATTAGTCTTTATTTTAACTGTCTTATATTGTGAAGTGGTATCCCATTGGGGTTTTTTGTATGTTGTTTTTTTAAAATTGAGATATAATTCACATAACATAAAATTCACTATGTTAAAGTGCAAAATCAAGTGTATACAATTCAGTGTATTTTTTAGTGTAGTCACTATGTCATACAGTCATCACCACTGACAAGTCCAGAACATTTTGATCACTCTAAAAGAAGTCCTGTAAAAAGAAGAAGAAGAAGAAGAAGAAGAAGAAGAAGAAGAAGAAGAAGAAATACTATACCCATTAGCAGTCTGTTCTGATTCCCTCTTCCTCCCATCCCCTAGCAACCACTAATCTAATTTCTGTCTGTGTGGATTTGACTATTCTAGATACTTCATATGAATATAATAATATAAATATATGGCCTTTGGTGACTGGCTTCTTTTATTTAGCATAATGTTTTCAAGTTCCATCCATGGTGTAGCATGTATCAGTACTTTATTCCTTTTTATGGCTGAACAGCATTCTATTGTATTACTATTCCACATTTTCTTTGTTTACTAGCTGAGGGACATTTGGGATATTTCCACTATTAGGCTATTATGCTATTTTCACTACTAGGCTATTATGAATAATGCTGCTGGAACATTCCTGTGTGAGTTTTTGCACATACATATGGTTTCAATTTTCTTATATATGTACCTAGAAGTGGAATTGCTGGGACATATGTAATTGTACATTTAACTTCTCTTTAATATTTTATTTGAGAGAGAACACAAGAGAGGATGGAGGGGCAGAGAGAAAAGCAGACTCTCTGCTGAATGGGGAGCCAGATTCATGGCTTTATCCCAGGATCTGGAGATTATGACCTGAGCTGAAGAGAGACACTTAACCAACTGAGCCACCCAGGCATCCCTATACATTTAACTTTTTGAGGAATTGCCAAACTATTTCCAAAGTATCCATACTACATTACATTCCCACAATCAACATATGAGGGTTCCATTTTCTTTACATCTTCGCTAAGTTCTTTTTTAATTTTTGATTATAGCTATCCTGGTGGTAGCGCATCACAACTTTGATTAGCATTTCTCTAATGTCTACTGTTTTGGGGCATCCTTTCATATGTTTCCTAGCCATTTATATACCTTCTTTGGAGATAAACATTCATTTAAATTCCTTACTCATTTTTTTAAAAAGCTTTTAATTGTTTTTGAAAGAGAGAGTGCATGTGAATGGGGGGTGGAGAAGGAGAGGGAGAGAGAATCTGAAGCAGATTCCACAGGGTTCAGTCTCATGACCCGGAGATCATGATCTGAGCTGAAAGTAAGAGTTGGACGCTACACTGAGCCACTCAGGCACCCCAATTCTTTCTTTCTTTCTTTCTTTCTTTTTCATTCATTCATTTTTCTTTACTCATTTTTAAATGTCATTGTCTCTTTATTGTTTAGTTGTAAAAGTTCTTTATTTAAACTGGATAGTAGACCTTTATCAGACATAGGCATGCCTTGTTGTGCTTCGCTTTACTGCCCTTCACAGATACTATGTTTTTTACTAATTGAAGGTTTGTGGCATCAGGTAAGTCTATTGGCACCATTTTTCCAACACTATTTGCTCACTTTGTGTCTCTGTGTCACATTTTGGTGACTCAGTGGTTCAAACTTGTTCACAATTATTATTTGTTATGATGATCTATAATTAGTAATCTTTTTTTTATAATTAGTAATCTTTAATGTTACTGTTGTGACTGTTTTGGGGTGCCACAAACCCACCTATATAAGATAACAAACTTGATAAATGTTGTGTGTGCTCTGACTGCTCCACCTGCCAGCCATTCCCTGTCTTTTTCACTCTCTCCAGGCCTCCGTGAGGAGATACACAACAATGTTGAAATCAGGCCAATCAGTAACCGTACAATGGCCTCTAAGTGTTCAAGTGAAAGGGAGAATCACATGTCTCTCACTTTAAATAAAAAACTAGAAACAAGCTTAGTGAGGAAGGCATGTCAAAAGCTGAGATATGCTGGAAGCTAGGTCTCTTAATGCCAAACAACCAAGCTGTGAATGCAAAGGAGAAGTTCTTGAAAGAAATTAAAAGTGATACTCAAAGTGAACGCATACATGATGAAATGAAATAGCCCTACTGCTGAGATAGAGAAGGTTTCAGTGGTCTGGAGAGAAGATCAAGCCAGCCATGACATTCCCTTATGCCAAAGCCTAATCCAGAGCAAGGTCTTAACTGTCTTCAATTCTGTGAAGGCTGAGAGAGGTGAGGGAGCTGCAGAAAAAAAACTTGAAGCTAGAAGAGGCTGGTTCAT